AATTATAAAAGAGCCTTTTTGTATATTTTTCTGCAATAAAAAAAAATCAATTTTCACATTAAACTGCTCAAAAATCAGAAAGTAATGATTGTGACCTGTAAGCTGGAAGCACGATGCGTGCTCGTGTTAGATGCTGTTTATTTGATTATTTCCTGTTCCCTGGAGCAGTGACAAAACAAAAACTCAGCAGCCTGTAATTAGGAACAAAAAAATGCTTGACAAACATGGAGTGAGAGGCAGTGCGTGTTGTATTTGCTCTGTGGCTTTTGTCTACAGCTGTCATCAAACGGCAATAGAGAGCGGCAGATGTCGCCTAAATCCGACCGTTCAAACAGGCATCTCCACCCATTCATCCCAAATCAGGACTTGAGCTGCTCCTTTGCTTGCGCTGCCATGATGGAGCAGGAAGTCAGTGATTGTACTGCTGTCATTTAAGGCGCTCACATAGACATGCACGGAGGATCCAAACCTTTCCAGCGTTTTTGTTACAGCCTCATGAGTCACAGGGAAATGCATAAATGCTGCCTTAACTATCAAACACTGATCAAAGATGGAGGGACTATATTCCAGCGTTTTTTTATTGTCATTACATCATTGCAATGAAATTCAACATCCCCTTGGGCAGCAGTGGGCTGCCATTTGCAGGGCCTGGGGGCCCAGTCTTTGCTCAGGGAGCCAGTGTGGCAGTCTGTGGGAGTGGGTTTCAAACTCACAACCTCAGGATTCCAAGCTCTATGCCCTAACCACTAGGCCATCCTTCCCCCACATGTGCAGCCAAATTCTAGTTTCAGCAGCTCTGATGCAAACGATAGACATTTGATATTACAAGGTGGAATGCTGCATCCAAATAAAGGCCTTTCATCGGACAGAAACAAGAGCGGAAAAGACATGTTGCACAGGGGATGGTACACAAACGATAAATCAAAAGTTGTTCAGCCTCCTTGAATAGAAGAGGACATTTTGTGCTGCTGCCCCACATCAGTGGAATGCCCTCCCTGATACTTTGAGGGCACCAGGGCTAGATGTTAACCATCGCCCGATCGCCCGGGGCAATTCGTTTTTATTGTTGGGAGAGTACAAATGATCGCAAAATAAATTATTTATCACTCAAAATTACTCTAAAATCACCGACATTCACTGAAAACCACCCACAAGTGTTGCCGGCGCCATTTATGTTGTTTTATACACATTCTTGCGTGATTTGAAAAAGCTGTGTGATTTTCCGCTAGATGGCGTGATTTTTCTCTCCTTGGGGAGAGAATTCTGCAGAGCAGCAGCTGGATGATGAATTTAATCTATACTATAATACACGCTAGATTAAAAATGATCAGTCAGGGATTAGGAAAATAATAATAATAACTGTATGCGCACAGTGTAAATATTTCTATCACATGGCAGTCTTCTGTACAGTGGTCATACATTAAAAAATATTCATATATTTTTTTTCTCTTAGACATCGGAGTGGTGCATTTAAGAGCTAAACATGTTAAATTAAGGAGTAGTAGTAGTGTAAGTTTTTAACCTGTCAAGTTTTCTTTTAGATTTTTAACATCACAATTTATATTTTTCCAAGCACACAACAGTTTAAAGCAAAGTTTAGTTTGAAAAGAATGTGCAGGAAGGGTTGAAAAGCATGTTAACACAGTAATGTAGGCTTGAGTTCATTATCTGACGCATGCAGATACACACCAGGAACCTGGAAACTTAAAAAATACTGAATTACAAAAAACATTTAAAAAACAAACATGTTTCATTGATATATATACAAAAATGAATATAAGGAACAATATTTATCAAACATTATACTGGGCAAGTAAATATTGTTTCTGGGCAAATGAAATGTGAAAGTAAATCCTTAACGTCAACCCCTGGCACCTCAATCCACTAAGTGTTTTAAAAAAGATGTTTTTCTCTCTTCTAAAAATAGCTTTTTTATTCTTTTCTTTTTTGCCTGTAGCACTTTGAGATCTTTTGATGGAAAGTGCAGTATAAATTAAATATATTATTATTATTATTATTATTATTAACCATAGAAAAGCCAGTTTCAGTTCCAGGTCCATTTGTGTTTACAATCTTTTCTTTTCGATAGAGGGGAGTGCTGAATATCAGTTTTAAGGATTCCGTACCATTATTGAAGGATTTTAGGGTTACATCTTGATTAGACCGCTCATCCAAATCAACTCCTCTGGTCTGAAACTGATGGAGTCTTTCTAGGGTCCCTGTCCTGCTTTTTATCAAATCTGACCTGCATTCCTGCCACAGCTGAAGGAAACATCCCCACACCATGATGCTGCCATCCCTATGCTTCACTATGGGGGCTAATGTGTGTAGTGCTATGCTACGTTACAGTAGCTGTCCTCAATACTGTTTAGCAGGTAATCCAGATTGTTTAGTTTTGATCTAATCAGAGTTTAGTATTTTTCTTTTTTCATTGTGTCTTTTAATCCTGATTTTATGAGATTTTTCTACCCTGTTAACAGCGTCTACTATCTGAGCTCTGGATCTGATTACTGCTCTCTATGCCCAAGCAGGTCAGTTTAGGTGGACATGCCTTCATGGGTTTGCACTTATGCCCTCCAGTGGCGGAGCAGGACAGTTTTCATACAGCTGTCCAGTTCAGGGTCAGGAAAACTAACCTGCAAAACAACCATGTATTCCTGATAAATCACTGAAAAAAAAAGACAAGATTTTCTGAAATCTCTCAATAATAAATATTTGCACAAATTTTCACACCCATGCTGTCTAAATTAAAGGTACAGGGGACGATCTTTTGCTCTTAGATCACCAATCTATTGGTTGTTTATGTATCCAATTAACTTTGATTTTAGTCATCGAGGGATTGCCTTCGAGTCAATGAGTCGATGCAATCAACTGGTTTTCCTTAGAAAACTTTGAATCAGTTTGACTGGATGATCTGGTGAACTGAGATGTTGTGAATTGGAGCTATAGAAATAAACTGAATTGAACTGAATTTATTGTATCTCCATTGCTCTTACTTTATACTTTAAAAAGGGCTGAGAGAAGCAAACAGTCCCAAAAGTTTAAAACAAGAGGGAGACGGCCTCAGAAGAAAGAAATAAGACCAGAGTGTGTTTAGGAGATTCTTTAACGCAATAGTGGAAGACCGACTGGATGGCGTTTGCTATAAGCACTTATGCCAAAAAAAAGAATATGACCGTTTCTTACCTACACTTTTTAGAAAAATTTCCATTCTACATGTGATTAATTATAGTTCTGCATAAAATTAAGATCTACATAAATTAATGCATCCAATATATACATTTAGCTGTTATGTATCAAACACGACTCCTAAATGACTCACAGAGACACACACATCCCCTTCTCCTCCATAAAACATGAAATCTAGTTTTTCCCCCAAAAAAAATAAATCCACTGGACTTTGTGTCCAAGTTTGAAGACGTTGCTCTTCCCATCCAGAAACTTTTTTGAATTCAAAATGTCAGAAATAGCGCTCTGTCTCTGAAAGGGAGGCCATTAAAGGGAGTTGTTGGCCTGGCTGAATAGGCGAGGTCTTCTGTTCCTCTGTAAAGGGGTTGGGGTTAAGATGATAGGCGGGAAGGGATCAACTCAATTGCTGTATTATAGGTTTTTGAAAGCTGAAAAGTTTTGCTTTTTAGCGTTTCAATTGCATGTTTTCAAAGCCTGGCCTGGCTGAAATCTGTTTTCCGCTCTCAAAAACCTACAATGCAGCAATTGAGTTATTTCTGTATTTTTGTTGTGAGTTTATCTTTAAATTCAGAACAACTAAAATGTTAAATAGTTAGGTCCTTCCACTGGATGGTATTAGTACTGCCACCCTCTAGTTTAGAGCGAACTGCGTGTTTTTGAGGTGGCAAAACCATGGCCACCCTTGGCCCCCCTTCTAGCTCCGCCCCTGATGTCACCCTCATCCTCTTGGACAGAGCAAAAAGCAATTTTCTAAGTTTTAGTTTTCTAACCTAATCCGTCTGTTAATATTCTCTGATTTTCTCCTCCTCGACCTGTTTAAGTTATTTCTTGGTCTTTGTTGTTCACTAATGTTTCTCGCAAACCTCTAAAAATCTTTATACAACTGATGGATTTATACTGAAATAACTAAGTAATAAATTATACATATAATTATATATAAATTATTACTTATTAATTATGTTTAAGCAATGATTCTAATAAATATGACATTGCAATTAAAATGATTTATTCCTTATGTTTGTAAAAGAAGAAAAGGTTAAAAGTTGCTAAAATTACGGAGACTTGCGCAAGTTCTATAACTTAGTTATATAACCTAGGCAGGAAATCAATATTTAGTTTTGTTTTAGTGGAATCCAGATTAAAGTGTTTTAATCACACATAAAGTAATTGTTAGAACACACGTATTTAATTTTATTTAATTTCCACATTAGAATCAAATTTAAATAAGAAATTACATTTTATATTCTTAGCTCCTATAAAGCACCTTTTCTTTTATTTAACCTTTGGTTTGTTTTCATTTCTTTTTTATCACACATGGCATAAAAAACACCCATAAAGGTCAGTTGCAGGTGATACGGTGTCTGGGCCGACACTGCTTAACTGTTTGTCACAATCTTGCTTCACATTGATAAGTTTGTAAAAAAAAAAAAAAAAAAGAAAGAAGCAGGCATCCTGTTAGATGATGTGGAACAACTGATATTTAAACATTTACCAAGATTTTATATTTATACTTCATCTTAGAGACGGATAAAATGCAAACTAACTTCTATTTCGGTCTCAGAAAATGCAGATGAACCTGAAGCGGCACATCCCCACCTACACAACAGGAAACGACCTTCTGTGAGGACGCTTTGGGACAGAGTTAGCTGGTTTACAGCATAAGGACTTTGATGATTTATTTTTAATATAAAGTGATTGAAGGGCCGCTCCTGCCTTCCGTATTTTCCATGTCTGAGTGTTCAGTGGAGTCTAGCTCCACGTCTCTGTCCTGCTTTAATCCTATTAGCTGGGAAGCACAAAGGGTAGATAAGAGGTTTATGTTTGTGTCGCTCACACTGAATGTTTTCTCTCTCCCTCGAGACACTAGAAAAGCTATATATTTGATCATTTGGAAAACCACCACTACACCTACTACATCTGGTGTGGATATCTTGAGAACAGGATTGGCTGAGAGGAAACACTGATGATGAATGAAGATAAAGTGTATGAGATCATCCTGAGATGGGTAAGTCCACCCTGACAATCTGAGCTGAGCTAATCATATTCCTAACAATAACGCATAGGCTTACCATCCCCTCGCTGATTTAGAGAGCTGATTTACTAAATTAAAACACCAAAAATAACAAAAACTGATTAAAAAAACTAAACAAAAAAGCATATATTGTCTTCATCCTTTTGACTCAAGAATTAAAAAGAATTTCCTTTTTATAAATTAAGTAAAGCATTGAGAAACAATATTAGCAATCTGTCAAATGTTTTCTTTTTTTATTTGGTACACCTACATGTTTCTGATGAGTTCAACTGAGTTTATTTCTTTAGCTTCAATTCACAGCACCTGTCAGCTCAAGGAACTTTCCAGAGACAAATCGATCAGATGAAAGGTTGAACGTTTTCTAAGGAAAACCTGCTGATTCACTCCTCCTGGATCAGCATGTGGAGAATGTAGATATTCTCTTGCATTTTGTCGTTTAGTCTACAGCAATCGCTCACAGTGAGCATGCATGAGGCGACAGTGGAGAGGAAGAACTTCCTTTTAACACAAAGAAAGCTCCATTAGAACCAGAACCAGTGTCGGTGTGAGCGGCCTTCTGCTGAGGAAGACTGAGGATTTGAAAAGACAGAAGCAGACATAGAAAAGGAACATAGAGGCACAGATCTATGATCATAAAACAAATGGAAAAAATGGAAAATGTAAAAATTTCTTTATTATAATAAAGAAAAAGGTTAGAAACGGAATTCACCTAAAAATCATTTAGAGGCAACAGCTTCCATGAGAGTTTTGATATATCTGGAAATGAGTTTTTTTTTTACTTCCTTTCAGTTTGTTTTACAGACATCATTTCTATTGTGATTGTATGCTTGAGTATGACCAGGGTGTAGAAGGTTTGGTAAAAACCACTTTAGCCAGCATTTTGATATTATATCAGATTAGTAGTCAAACATGGTGGAGGTGGTGTGATGGTCTGGGGCTGCTTTAAGTCTATAAGGATCTGGAAACTTGGTTTCACTGATGAATCCCTGATTTCTCTTCCTAGATCAGATTTCTCAAACTTTTCAGCTTCTGAGCGAGAAAATCTTGCCAGAGTCGACTCATGAACCAAATTACTGGTTTACTTTAAAAGAGTTCTGTAAAATCAATTAACCAACATTACAAACAGCATCAACAACCAAAGTGGTTGGTTGTGTCCTTTTTAAGTTATGCTTTTATGCACTTTAGCATCAATCTTTGTTGTTTAGTTTCTTCTGTAGTGGATCTTAACAATTAATACAGTTTGATCAAGAACCCAAAAGGGTCCAGACCTCCACTTTAGGGAACCGTGCTCAGGAAGTGCCTCAGCGGCAACAATTTTTGTTTATCCTCAATCGTTTATGAACGTGATTAGCAGCACGACGATTTAAAGCTTTCTCACGTCTGATTGGCCTTAAAAACGGGAAGATTTCAAGTTCTGTTTAAAGTCTGACTTAAATCCAGCTGAGATTACCTCAACTAATGATGAAATGATTTGTGTGAAGATTTACCCCCTTTCTTTAGATTTAGGAGGATATTTGGATCCTATTTTCCTGTGAGAAATATTTGAAAATTGACATGCAGTTGAAAATAGAAGTTTGTTTAAAATAAAATCCAAATAGGACAGAATCTATGAGGGGAAAACACTTTTTTACAGTTCGTATTCAACAGTGATAATCCCCCACGCTGTCATTTCAGCGCAACACTCCAGAAGAAGATTTAAAGCCGGAGGATTTCCAGCAGTTCAGGGACATCGGAGCGGCTTGTCTCAGAGGGGGGGACGGCAAACAGCTCCTAAAATTTCTCCAGGATGAGAAAAACCAGGTAAGCTGACTAAAAAAGAGGCAGACTGAGGGTCCGGGTTGTGTTCTCCCACCCTGCAGATCTGAAGTGACGGCGGATCGACTGCGTTAATCTGTCGGACAGCACTAAAAGCACATCCGCTCCATCCAGCTATGTTAAACATGGAGATGCAGCTGTTACTTGGTGCCTGCTGGCCTTTTGAGCTGAAGGTGTGGAGGGAAACAAGCAGATATTCAGTCAGATTTCTCGCTCCACTGCTAACACCCATCAACGTGGTGCTCCTCTAAGTGCCCTTGGTTGTCCCATCTCTCCACACTTCATGCAGCTGTGTTAACCCTACTTAAAGAAACACTCCCTACCATCACCTCCTTTGAAGGCTGGCTGCATTGAAGCTCTGAAATGATTGAATATGAAAAGAAAAGCCAGTTTTACAGACAGTGTTTTAATCTGAGGTGCAGCGTGAGGTTTTAGCCACAAAGCAGCGTCTGTATGATTTTCCTCTGAAAACAGTCGATCTTACCTCATTATTTTAGAATAAAAATCATCTAAAGTATTCCAGAACATTTTCTTAGACACAATGTAAACCCCAACCTTGAAATTCTTTATATTTAGGTCAGTGCAACATATTGTTTTTTTGAGTGCAGGTGTGTAAAGCTGAAACGTTTGGATTAAACTGAACTATTGGTGTAACAGTTAGGTAAAGATTAAATACCTTTTTTAAGAACATTTTAGCTGGAATAAGTAAGTAATTGAGTAGATTTTGACCATAAGACTCCACTGGTTAATTATTTGACTAAAGGATGTATCTAACGCTGCAAAGCCGTTACTGAAGTTAAAATGTTACAATCAGATTTTCGCAGAAGAAAAATTTCAATCTAACTGAATAATTAATGCACCATAAAGCTGTTTGTTGATGGACAAAAAAAAAAGAAAAACAAGAGAAAAGAAACATTTATGATTCTTCTCAGCTTAAGAAATACATTTTCATCATGATAGACATTTATAGTGGTTTAAAGTGCATTAAAATAAACTGACATGATTGCTCTCTTAGTATTGCTGTTTTTATGGAAATGATTGCACAAGTCTCCGTAATCTCAGCAACTTTTAACATTTTCTTCTTTTACAAGCAATAGGAATGAATAATTTTAATTACAATGTCATTTTTATTACAATCATTACTTAAACATAATGAATAAGTAATGATTTATACTTAATTATATGTATAATTTATTACTTAAGTCTGGGTAAAAAAGAGGTATGAAGAAGCGAAACTTAACTCTTCTGCAATTAAATGTTGTTATAACTTTGTGTAATTTAATGAAGTCACTTTTAGACTGGAACATGTTGTCTGAGCGCACGCTGAATGGGCTCTGTTAGAAGAACAAATAAAAGTTAGATTCAAACTTGCTTTATGAACTTACATTACCCCGGTTAAGATCAATCAGTGGTCTCCTGATGTGCCAGACACATGTGTTAAGTGCTTGGAAGGAAAGGGTACTCTATATCACTGTGTATGGGACTGCCCAGATATAAAAAAATACTGGAAAGACATTGTTCTGACTTTATCTGACATCATTAAAGTGAAGATACCTCACCTGGCAGAAATGTGTATACTCGGTATATATCCAAAAAACTTTGTTGTTACTCCTAACAAGTCAACTTTAATTGATTTTGGCCTCCTACAGGCGAGGAGGATGATTGCTCTGTCCTGGAGGAAAATGGGTGTGCCCTCGATAAATGAGTGGATAAAGGAGATGGCATCTTGTGTGATGCTGGAAAGCAGGCACTTGCAGACGGGGGTGCTAAGGGGGCTTGAGCACCTGCCCCTTTTGCTCCATGATCCCAATGTGCCCTTTTGGTCCTTTTTTTTTTTTTTTTTTTTTTATTAAATTTTTTTTTATTTGACACATGTACTGAAATTATTATTATTATCTTTTTTTTTGGCAAGAAAAACAATACAATAAGCCCTCCGGTCACATTGTTACCTTTGACCTTTTGCCGGTGACGACGCACTTGCCTCTCGCACAGTCAGATAAGGCGGCTAACTGCGGAGCTAAAGGTAGCGAACATTCCACATTACACTGTGGCCGCTGCTCATTCGGCCCTAAGCAAGATCAACCATGATCGGATGGATGGCTATGTCGTCAGTCTGCACCGCCTCTCCAATGTCAACCTGAATAGAGATGTAAGTGAAACCAAATGAGCCCCATGGATGATGCAGTATTGTTTGATCTAAAACACTGTTTACTCTGTGCTTTTAGTCTTTTACATTGAAAATTATGTTTTTTAATTCACAAAAAACTGTTCTGTAATGATTACAGAACAGTTTTTTTGTGAATTAAAAAACATAATTTTTGGTGAAAATACTGGAGTAGGCTTGCTACTTGTCAGACAACGGAAAACTTTGAACGTTGTATAATTTCTCTACTTTAGTAAAGAGTAGCGGTTTAAACGGAGGAAAGTATAGGACGCGGCGCGCCTTTCTCTGAAGAACTACTGAGTGGGAGGAGAGAGCCAGATGAGGAAAAGCTGTTCTTATCTATCGATTCAGTATTTTTATCATACAGACATTAGGCTGTTGTTCTTGTGTTTCCCTTAGCTTTGATTGTATGTCTCACAATTTTGTAATTTATCATTGTTCATTAAACTCTGAAAGCTATGTGACTTTGTTAATATTCTGTCCTAAAATGCGATAAGATGTGCCCTTTTTTTTTTTTAGCACCTGCCCCTTTAGTGGTCTCTGCACGGCCCTGCTGGAAAGGCTGACTTATATCACCAGGGGAAGGGCTACAGAGTTTAAGACTGTGTGGAATCCCTTAATAGAGTTTCTTCAACGTCAAAGAGCTCAAATAACTTAAAACTGCTGCGTTGACATATGTTGTTGAGTGTTTGTGTTTTGTTTAGTTTTATTTAATTTTGTTAAGTGTGTGAAGTATGTGAAATGTTTTGTGGAAATTCTAACTGTTCACTTTTTGGATGCTATTGTTTTGATAACCGTCTCTTTGTACAAGTGAAATATATCTATAAAACTCAATAAAGATATTGTTGAAAAAATAAATAAAACTTGCTTTATAGTCAAACTGATAACTGAGCAACTTTCATTTTAAAATATAAAAATTTGTTCAATCCAATCCACTTTATTTATATAGCACGATTTAAATAAACACAAGGTTTCCAAAGTGCTGCGCAAGAAAGATAAAATAACTAAAATAAATAAAAGTAAATAAAATAAAAGTTAAAGAAAATCAACACAAAGTCAAACATATTTAAGGTAAAAAACTATTAACTAAACAAGAGAAACTCAACTAAAATAATTATCTCAATAAACATATTAGGAGAAATGGTTAGAAAGATAAAAAGATTTATTGATATTACAGTTTTGCAGGGATTTTATGTTTGAAAACCAAAGTTTATCTTGAAGAGTTTTATAACAGGTTGAAATTACTTTTAAAATAATTTAGAGCAATTTAAATTGTGTTCAAACTATTGCACAATGCAAAATAAGATAAATAAATCATTATTTGGTAAAATAATGAATTAATTTTCTAGAATCCAGAATCAATAACCTTTTAGATAGTTCATTTTTAAACTTCTGAGATTGTTCCTTCGTTTGCAGAAATTTTAGCTTCTTTAGTTAAGTTTGGTTTTTAGGAGAGTAGAGCTCATAGCTGGCAGACACCAGAGGACTTATGTTAAATGAGTCTCTGTTCATATTTTAGCAATCAAAAGTGTTGAGCATATCAAGAAACACATTAATGTCATTTAAGTGTGTAAATTGTAGTTGATATAGTGTCTTAACTTTATAAATTGTATTTTTAAGCAATAGGGACCTTCTTTGTGTCTGCAATAAAGAAATAAGTTGAATAAACAACAGTTTAAAACATGTAAGCATCGTGTATCTAGCATGTGTTCAGTAAAAGCTTCTGTTGGCTTGTTTTACATAACATTAAACAGATGAAATTATCACAATACTGTGATCTAAAATCCAAACTGTTTAGCTGTAAACTTTTTCCTATCTTTTGCCAAACCTGCAACCTCTTTTTGTCTGCTTGATCACTTAAGGTTTTTACATTTTTATGATCTAACCTCCCTCTTTCCCTCAACAAATAGTTTTCGTTTTTCAGTCTGTTTGTTTCTTGCTCTATAAATTAATTGTGAGGCTTAAAAAATCTGCCAGATCAGAGAATTTAAAAAAGCAGGAATGAATGAATAATGGATTATTGTGGTCATGATAGTCAGCTTGATCAATTATCCCGATGGCTCTTTTCTGCATGCAGTTTTAATGATGTCCTATAGATGTTACCTCAGACTTCAACATAGCTCAAATATGGTAAAACTCATTAAATAATAAAGACTACGTCATTCTTTATCATTCAGAAAATGTTTTGTTTTACTGAGAATTGCGATTTTTCTATATAATTTATTCTGAGACATGATGAGACTCTTTCAGCACATATTTTAGTCAATAATTACACCTAATAATTATATTTCATTAACTTGTTCTGACTTTACCCCAAATATTTTGACTTTCCCATTTATATTTCTTTTAGAATTTGGAAATAACATGAATTAAGTTTTTTTCCAGCTTCAAGGATAATTTGATTCTGTCAAACCTTCTTTGTAGCTCATTCATCTCTGATGTGATTCCATCCAGGATCTTTATTTATTGTTGCATTTTATAATTTAACAGTAAAAATAATGTTTGAATCATAGATTAGAGCAAACATTTCAGCCTGTGACCCCAAAAAATAACAAAGCAACAGTCTGGAGATCACCTAAAAATAAATATTCACTTACTTACTTAACTCTGGTTTAAATTATATTGAATTTTAAGGAAAGGAGCTTTTATTACTTATTTAATTCATAATTCAAATGAGCTTTTATTTATAAGGAAATTTAATTATTCAATTGGACATTTTACAATTTAATATTTTACATAAATTAATAATTATTAAATCTGCTGACTTTATTGTATATGTATTTAATTAAAGAAACAATCACATTTATGAATTTCATGATTTATTTTAGCCCTCAATACATTTCATGGATCAAATCACAATGATTGTGAGAATCATCTTTCCACCTCCCACTTGGTGTCTTATGTTCCTTTAGGGGAAAATCACCCCCACTTTGGAAACCCCTGATTTAGATAATATATATAAAAATAGGAAAATCTCATAGTTAAGCAGATATAAGCCTGAATCCTGCTTTTGCTCTACAAGGATCAAACTGTCCACATGCAGCCGAATATTCTGTTTCTGCTGACAATACTGACCAATAAAGCTGTTCATTTTGTTCTGCAGGGGAACGTTATGGTAAATAAAGATGTTTTAACCTTTCAGATTAGTGAAAGTGCATCTTTTTCATTCATACAGGGAATCATGAAGTCCATGGGCTGTGGGCTCTTAGCACCTCTAATGAAGGAAGTTGTTAAGAACAAGAAGAGTCGTGACGATTGCCAGGCTGCCATCATGCAACTAACCAAGGTAGGTTTTAGCAGAATGTGATATTTTAACTGATTTCAGGAAGCACAACTGTGCAGGATACAGATTTTAATATCTGCAAATATGAATCATATGATATCAGGGGTGGAAACTCCAGCGTGATTAATATTAACAGGCGGTATGACCTTTTTATCTTATCACAGATATGTTAACTGCAAATTCTACTTCTCATACCCCCCTATAGGGTTTTGCTTAAACTGGCAAAAAGCAAATAAAAATCCCTCTTTTTCAAACTGAACAGATATGTTATGTTACATGAATGAAAACAGAGATTTTCTCGAAGGCTAAAAGTTACAAGAAAAAAAGACAGCTGTAACAAAATGAAGGACCTTAAGACTAAAGGATGTTCTACGGCCTAAAATGAAAAATAAAATACAATCTAAGCCTTCAAACATCCTGCAGAAACATTATTCATATCAAGGCTAGTTAAAATTTTTCATATATTTATGATAATAATGGCTAATTAATTTTTCTTTGGGATTAATAAAGTATTTTTTATTTGAACTGAATTCATTAGCAATACACACTGCAAAAAATTCAAATCTACATAAGTCATTTTTTCTTGTAATAAATTTTTTTTTTTTTAATTGAGGAGGTAATTGAGACACTTTGCCAATAGAACAAGACAATTTACATTTAAAATAAGAAAAAACACAATTGCATTGTCTTATTTAAAGTGCATATTATCTAATTATCTTATTTCTAGACTAAAAATACTAATTCCATTGGCAAATTATCTCATTTACTTACTCAAATGAATGGTAAATACACTTAATTTAAGGCATTTTTTTCTCATTTTTAGATGGTTTTTGCAGTGCAGATACTGGCCTTTGTAATAATAAGATAATTTAGAAATACAAGAATTTGAAAAATCTTATTTCAAGTGCAAGATATCTTAAAAAACTTAAATCTTATTTATCTGCACAGCTATGGAGCAAATACACTTTTAAGACGTTTTTACAGATTTTATTATTTTAAAGTAAAAAAAAAAAAACCTTTATGGTGCTTCTTTGTTTTTGTTGTCTACAGCAGCCTCTGCTTCAGCTGAGTCAGCTGCACATCTGTCTCTGTCTCAGCAGAAATGGCCAATATAGACACATAAAACCGTTTCCTAGGAACTGCTGTCAGTGAAAATAAAAAGCTTAAGTTCAAACGAAAGGCCTGCTGCAGTTCGAGGTAATTTAAACTAAATGAGATGCTCTGTTTTCTAGATTTGCAGCTCAGAAAGCCTGGTGGAGAGCTTCATTGGATTAATAGAAGACATGGATCCAGGTGCCATTTCTGAAACCATTTTAGCCCTTCTTCCACATCTTCAAACAGGTGTGTGAACGCATCACTGATTCACTTCTAACAACAGAAAAACGCTTTAAGGTTTTTTTTTTCTAGCATGAAAGGTCCTGGTAAAGTAAAGATGTCAAAGTGGATTCAGTTTGTGAAAGATTTGGTTTGTCTCCATTAAAAATATGGTGTCTAGCGCCCCCTGCAGCACACACTGAAATAATGTTAAAGAAATTTCAGTTTAAATCCATTCTGCATAGCATCATTTAATGAATTGAAATCTTTGCTTTTTTTCAGTTCTCTTTCAGCTGGAGGAGAACCGAGCGGCCTGTTTGGGTTTGACTCTATCAGCCCTTCAGCAGCAGCTGTCCAGGCTGCCTGTTCCCTTCACCCTGCAGCAGGAGGAGGCTGATGAGCACGGCCTGTGCCACTGCTGCATCGCCCTGGCCATGTTTGCCAAGGCTTTTATAGACGACCTGAAGAGGAAGGAGGAAAAGTGTCATCCCACTGCTGAAGAAGAAGCTATGAAGGCTGAAATCTTGAAGTTGTAGGTTTATGATTCACTATCTTGTTGCTTAAAACACCACAATAGCAGCTTTAATGATGCATCTGGAAGAGTCGGGTATAAAGAGTTAGATTTTTCAGCTCTTTAAATCATTATTTATGGCGATGAACTTAGGTATTTCAGTTTCAATTAAAAAAAAAAATGCAATTTTGCAAAAAGTATTTAAAATGTATCCCTTAGTGATGATAGTACCAAAATAAGTTTTTGTTTTTTCAAACAGCTGCATGAGGAGTTTAAAGGAACCTTTACTTGAAGCTGAACTGAACCAAAATAAAAAATCTACTTTGTGGCTCTTTGCAGCAGAGATAATGGTAATAATAAAACTAGATCATATAAGTCAAACACTTTTAGGGGTTTCTCTTGTATATTTGTTAATGTTTTATAATTTGCATTTCAGGTCAGCCTACCTGCGATCAAAGAACCTATTCCAGGACTTCTGCTCTTCAGTTCTCTGAAAAAATTCCCCATGATTGATACCAGCCTGTCCAAGGAGTCACTGGCATGTCTGGCCTATCTGCTGTTTGTCCAGCTCATAACCATCGACATGTTTCCAGCTGTGTTCAGGTGAGACTCGGACCATCATTGTGAAGGTTTTCCCACCTCTTAAGAGAGTATAAAAAAAATTAACTCTTGCATTTGTTTCAGTCCTGTATTTATTCTTCAGTGCAACATGGATCACATCAACCAGCTCCTCAGTAGGTAGGCTATCAGTTCAATGAAAAGTTCATTTTTAATTTTGAAAATGCAATGAAAAATGCTACTTAAATTTCTATTTTTGGCAGCAAAAAGGAATCCTATTTGCTGAAAGGACTGGTATGAACACCCATTATCCTAGATGGAAAAAATGACAGGAGACTCTATTAGAAATGGAGGCAGAACACTTTAATTGTTTTTCATAATTTGTCTTAGGCATTGTTTTCCAAAAGTTTGGAGAAAGTGGAAGACGACAGCCTTCCTGTAGGTCTGCTAGACCTGAAAAGCTTCTATAATGCACCGCAGGTAAGACACAAGAAAGACCAACAACAGAAAACTGCTTTAAAAGAGATTTAAATAGTTTATGATAAATGCCTCTGATGTGGTTTTTCCTTAAGATGATATGGTAATACAAAAACATTTTCCTTTTTGGTGGATTTCAATACAGATAAAAAGCTAAATTATAGAAAGCATTCATTATATTTCACTTTCTATTAAAGTTCCTTTCAAAAGTCTTTGATAGAACGGCTTTAATATAGGTAAAACAAGTCGCTTATTTTTTTTTTTTTTTCACAATTTGTTTTTGGTTCACAGCACTTTAAACACAGATTAAAATATTTAAAGGTATATAGTCATGTTTTATGTCTTTGCCAAAAAGGAAAAAATCCAGTTAATTCTGATCAAATAACGCTATAAACTCTAATCCTCCATCCTCATAGTGTTTTGATCTTCTTTTTTGAGCCTAAAGAGAACCTCAGCACTAGGTGCAGTGAGCTGAAATTAACACATGTGGCGCCATCTACTGGCAGTACTGCTAGAAAGCCAGATGGTGACCATTGATGGAGCTACTAAATAAGTCCCGACTGAGCTATAATCCTGCCTGAAAACCAGCAGCTTGAAGGATAGGGGTTAAAAGCAGCGCTAACACCAGCAGCACTATCAACCAAGACATATTCTCACATTTCTATCAACTTCGTTCACAGTGACATCACCATATTTGCCAGGGTCCGTTTCAATAAAGCAGGTTTAACACTCAGATTCAAATCTGAAACTCAGAATTGATCTAGCCTAAAGACGGGAACTCTGGGTTTTCGGTTATAATTTATTAATCTCTGAGGGGGTGAATTTTGCCAAGTAACCATGACAACAGGCAACAGGAAGAGCCAATTTCATCCCACTGGAACTAGAGATTTTAATGCAAAAATAAAATAAATTAATGTAGAGTGTTTTAATAGAGAAAAGGCGCTACAGCAGCAAAGAAGAGGAAGGTGGTGAAGGAGAAGAGTGTTGCTCAAATTAATGCAGACGTTTATATGAAGTGGCCTATGGCAGGCCATTTTCACATTTATTAAAAGCACTCTCTGTCCTTCCATTTGTAGATCACTAAAATAGGATTCTTCCTGATCTAAATCACTTTCCTAGTCGGAATTGAAATAATATAGTTTCTAAATTACATTTTTGCAGCCGAAACTGAAGTTAAAAAAAAATAAAACAAAAACAAATTCTAGTTGTAAGGATTAGGTTTTATATATCTAGAAACATTTACACATTTTAACCGGCAGTTTTGACATTTATCAGCTTGACTGACATGTATTTTATGATATCTGAAATACACTTTTTCATAGTCAATATACTGTAATACAAATGAGCAGTACAAAATATATATAATTAATTTCTAGACATCCAGAATATTTATTCTAGATGTGGAGAACGTCATTTTGTTTGTAAAGGTCATTTTGACGAGGGAAAACGTTTTTTCAGATATCAGAAATACATATTCAGTTATATTAATATGTTTCAAAACGGCTTGCCATAGTTGTTAACCACAATAACATTATGGGTCAAACTAGTTTACTGCTATATTGGTGGTAAATCAATGTAATCTATTTAGGTGTAATCACCTGGAATCAGTTTTTCCCTGCTAAAAAACAACTTTTCTTCTTCAGGACTTGGTTCTAATGCTGTAATTGATACAATCATAAACATTTACATCAGATAAAAAAAATGAAGAGATCATTTTAAAAATGCCTTTTGTATTTAAACCTTCTAATCTCTGTCTGATATTACCAGAGCTTAGATCAGTGGTTGAGCTCAGGATCTGCTGGGAGTTTTATAGATAATTATTATCAGTCACTATAATGTGATCCCTGAGGTGCATGAAGGGACAAAATGTATCATAAAATAAATAAATGTATCATATAATTGAGTTATAGTAAGTTATAAAATACATAATTGATTAGATAAAAGTATAATTAAATGATAAATAATACATTTACAATGAATAAGTAATTAAATGTCAGATAGAAAAATAAACGTATTTAAAAATTAATTATTTACTTCACTGTAAAGAGAAAAAAATAAAGATCTGTATTTTTAGGGGGGGGGGACTCTTATTTTTGGACTGATAAGTTTGGGAAACCCTGGATTAGATCAGCTGGAACATTTTAACAGGACAGAAAAGACTAAAATACTTTTTGAAGGACCGTTTCTTCACTTTTCTGGTGTTTGTCTCGTTTAAATTAGGCAAAAATATTTAAGGAAACTAAAAAATGTTTTCAGTGATCTAAATAATCTGTTCTGAAATGTATAGAACCTGCGACGAGTTCTCACTGACTGCCCCTTTCAACATCTGGTAAGTAGTTCATAACATGATAAATGAAAATCTGATCTTAGATCGTGTGAAAATAATTTAGTAATTTTATGTTTGTTTCTTCAGAGAGAATCAGGACTGAAAATATTCCAGCTTTTCATAAACAAACTCGACGTTGAAGCAAAGCATAAATTCTTCAGGTCAGAATTTAGGGGATTATTAAACCTAGATCAGAATTTAGCTTTTGTTTACCAATAAATGCATATTTCAGATATTTACCAATGGACCTGGTTTTAAACCTGTTTTTTAAATGTTTGATGCTTAATCTGAATAAACACCATTGATCATCGCTCCCCTCCTTTGCAGGTGCATGTTAAAGACAAGCCACCATGCAGGCGTTGAAGGCTACATAGTGAAAAACATCAGGAATCAGGTCCATCTGTCTATAAAGGTGAGAATTAGGAACCTTTTTGGCATCTTAACAAAGCTGTTGTATTTTTATGAAAGAGAAAAACTCAGAAAATACACCTACATTATCTTCATTTGATCATCTAAACATACAATTAAAGGACTATTTCTGATCAAAGTTGAGATAAAGAGTCTCTTTTAGCAGCTGATCTGCACAGTGACCGCAGACGTTCATTTTTCTAGCTAATTTCTAAGTCATGGAAATGTGGGTTCAGGTCTGCAGGCAGGTGGATTCACTCTAGGACCTTTATGGAGCCACTTTGTGGTCATTGTTCCGCTGAAGTCTCAGCCATGTTCCATCTGAAATGCTCTCACTGATGCAACCAGGTTTGGGATTAAAATCTCACCATCCTTGTCCCTGTTCATTTTCCCCTTAACGCGGATCTGTCATTCAGCCCCAGAGCATGATGCTTCCACCCCTGTGCTTCACAGTAGCAATAATTCAATTAAATTCAGTTTATTTATATAGCATCAATTCACAAAACGTCATCTAAAGGCAATTTACAGTTCACCCAGATCATCCAGTTTTAGATTAATAATCTAGCTGAGTATATCAATCTCAGAGGTCAGATTAAGCAACAATCCAGATCTTTTATGGAATCAAATCAGTTCCCTCCTTTGAAGACAACTTTTCTGCAGAAGCAGAAATGTTTGAAGCATATGGGAGAAGGAAATCCCTCATTATAGATAAAACTGATTTTTCCTGCAGAGGTCAATTAGTTTATAATCCTAAATACATTCAATAAAAGAAAAATGATCCTTGGAGTTCACTGGTTCTTTTTTGTAAATTTTTAACCCAGTTAAAGGTTTAATCTGCCCAACCTCTCTGTGTCTGATGTTAGCTTTGAGCTAATAGCTCTGTATGTGTAACTCCTCTGCAGGCTGACGCCAACAGGTGGTTCCTGGGAGCAGAGCTGCTCCCGCTGCTTGATCTGGTGCTCAGTTTACCACAAGGAGCAGAGACGGATCTGCTCGCCAACATGGACAGGTGAGTGATACGCTCCTTTTTCTTTTCGCTGCTCAACCCCAAACACATCCGATAATCACCATCAGAAGAGGAGATCATGTTTAAATACTTAACTGACTGAACCAGCAAAGTCTGTTTATGCACCAATAATGTTTACTTTCACAAACTGACAACAAACATTTAAATAGTTTTGAAATTTTTAGCGGTTTTTATTTTTATTTAGTTTTGAATCCTGATTTTTAATTCTAATTCAGTTTAAATTAATTTTTTGTATTTGTTAGCTTGTTTATTTTAGGTTTTATTTTTTGAAAATACTTAGTTTCACTATAGTACAGTTATAGTCTTTCATTTTATATGAATAAAATAAATAAATAAATAATAGAAACAAAATTCCAGATAAAGACAGACTGCTGCAGCAACAAACAGATAACCTGACTGCTGTGCTGCCATCTGCTGGCGAAATGCTGTACAGTGAAGAACCAGAAATCAAACCTCATATTAATAAGGTTAAATTAGGGTGACCATATTTGCATTTTGAAAAACCAGGACACCTTGGAGCGGGGGGGAGGCGGCGGGGGATCTCTGTTCCCATGCATAGGCCTAGGTAATCCTACAATAACATCATATTAACAGTTGATTTATTAAAAATGCTTTTCAGTAAAAGTCAACAGCAATAACTCCAATAACAAATGATAATTTTATTCAAAATGTATTTGTTAAAAATGCTCAACAATTCCTGTAATGAATGAAAAGCACAATGAAAGAAATAATGTCTCATCTAAACATCCCTTACTTAACAATAAAAGTTAAAAATAACTCTCAACTCCCAATATGATGATACTCAGCCTCAGCAATGAACGAAATAATGTCTGTTCTGTAGGTTATTGGAAAAAATAAACAAATGAGCTAAATAACAAAAAATACCTCTTTTGTAGCAAAAATAACTCAAAATGTACCAAAAACGAAAAAAAAAAAAACATATCAATAGACTATCTTTACTTTCAGAGTCCAGGTGGCTTTTCAGATCCCTTGCACCTCCATTGGACACTGAGACATATGTGCCTGCTTTGCACGCTGTGCACAAGGCCTCCCGTTTGTCTCGATCCGGCCTGAAAGCGGGTAATTTTAAAAAACAGGACATTTCCTCACTTTCTAAAAAAAAAACCGGGACGCCCAGGACAGGACGTGAAATACGAACATGTCCTGGGAAATACAGACGTTTGGTCACCCTAGTTAAATAATAATTGGATTGTATTAATTTCACACAGGAGAATTTTACCTATGCATTTAACCCGTCCCCTTGGGGAGCAGTGGGCTGCCATTGTGTGGCGCCTGAGAAGCAGTGTGGGGTTAAGGGTCTTGTTCGGGAACCCAGAGTGGAGGCTGTGGAGATCAAACCGGATACTTGCAACCATCTCAGAGCAAGAGTGCACTGCTCTAATCACTAGGCCATCACTCCCCTCTGATGCCTTATGCTCTCGGCATGCAGATGCACACTCATGATACGCATGATAAAGACGCAAGCGAAAACTAAGCACAGTCTCTCCTAAAGCTCCGTTTGTTTTAATTAGGTTTGCACAGCTTCAGTTAGTTTTTGTTTCTTTTTGCAAGGTCTTGTTTTAATTAGTGTTGCACCGATACTGATACTAGTATCAGTATCAGGGCCCCGATCCAGCACTAAAATGATCGGTATCGGCGAATACCAACAAATAGGGCACTGATACCATTTTGAGAGTCAAAAGTTTCTTAAACTATTGTCACCCTTTCCAGGTAGGCGATAAAAAGTTCTACTGGATTCACTTTGTTTTAGTCTTTTTCCTGCTTCACAAAGGTAGGCAGCAGCTTGACAAAGCCATGACGGCAATTATTTTACATCTAAGTAGTCAATTTCAAACAGATGGTATCAGTATCGGTCAATGCTGCACAGACAGGTATTGGGTATCAGTATTGGGGCCAAAAAATGGCATCAGTGCAACACTTGTTACTTCAGTTCATGAAAAAGTTTTTTTTAATTCCAGTTCTTGACATTTTGCAAGTTTAACCTAATGATAATAACCTTGTTGACAACAATACGGTCGCTGACAGGTGCAAATGCACAGAAACGACGAAACGGGATGGAAAAACTTGTGATGCAAACTCCAATAAAAGACAAGAACAACAAGAAAAAAAACATAAAAGGAAGGCACTGCAAACAAAACATGCTGCAGTTACTGAAAATTTTAGCAAAATTCTACAATTAATCAAAAAATGCAAACAAAATAAGATGCAACCACAGAAAGAAAATAATGCAATTAGCTAAAAAAGCAGAAAACTTGCTCCACTAAACAGAAATGCTGCATAACGCTACAGGGAGTCAAACAAAGAACAAAGCTTGTCGAACCAGACGCTCCGTACAAACAGGAAGTCAAGCTTTAGTAAAAAAAAAAAAAGTTGGGATGAGAAAGGAGACATTTATCCTTTGTTTCATTTTCTATTCTTGTTTCAGTATTACAGAAAAACAGCACCTTATTGTAACATAAGTAACACTCTGATCTAATAGAGTTTGATCAGAGTTTGGCTCCCTCTAGTGGTCTGGAGCATTTCTATTTTGTTGCAGTGAATTTGCAGCTGTTTTAACCATTTGCAACATCTCTTTCTGTGATTACAGCATTTGTTGTTTGCAATTGTTTTGATGCAGCATGTTTTTGTTTGCAGTGTTTTTCTGCAGCATTTTGCATATTTTGCAGCTTGCAACACACGTTTTTGTAGCTTGTTTCGTGGTTTGCAGCGCGTTTGCACCCGCTGGCCACCATACAACTGAAAGAAAGAAACCAGATTGTTTTGCTTTGTTTCTGTTTTTTTTAACCCAGAATAATGGAGAGTCTAAATCTTCTGCGCTATCTGCTTATGCAAGACAAGGAACTGAGGAGAAACGTGAGTCAGCTTCATTTGTTTAGTTTGATCAATGCAAAAAAAAAAAAAAAAGAACAAATATAAACAGCTTTTTTAACTTTAGGCTAACATGTGGGAGGACTTCTGCAGGATCAAAGATGACTACCTAAGAATGCTGAGAGTGAGCATCAGCATGTGGAGAGCATATTACTCTGCTGAGATGAAAGCACTGAAGGAGGATCAAAGGCTGAAAGCAAAAGGTAAAATTTAGCTGCTAAACAGACAGAAAGAGAGAAACAGATCCCTTTATTTCTGTGTCTGTTCGTCCTGCAGAGGCTAAGGAGAAAGCTAAGTCTACCAGATTGTTAAGACCCATAACGGTGAAGCATGAAAAAGTTCCCCACATGTCTCCAGAGATCCAGCACCAGGTAGAGATTTCTGCTCTTTTAATCAAATGTTATGGAGAAAAAACAGAAAAGCAAAGGTTGTTTTTGTGACTCAGGTGCTGCAGAGCGCTTTGGTGACGTTTGACTTGATGGAAAGTCTCATCGTCCGGATAGACGAGATCACAGAGGAAAAGCTGGGGGAGCTTCACTGACACCGATCTGCTTGGGTTTTTGGCTGATAACAGAAAGCCTTCAGCGGTTCCAAATGTTTATTTAAGCTTTTGTTGAAATTATTTGACCAAACAGAGAAGAAAACAGTTTGCATCTGTGCTACTTATGCTTCACGTAGCTTCGTGTACGAACTCTGGTGGCATGGATCATAACATGCCTTTCAGCATTTCCCACACAGGACTGGACTCGACGATGCGGGCCCGGGCCAAAGACATCCGCTCTCGGATTTTATCCACGTGCGGCTTGCTGGTGGCCTGCAGGAAGTTAATGTTTGTCTTTACTTCAAACTAAGAACAACAGAAAAGAATGACTGCTTTCCTAAATAACCAGTTACCTTGGCAACCGTCAGCATCGCTTTTGTTATCTGAGGAGCGTTTCGTACAGGAAGGACCTTCAGATTGCTGCCAAGAAATCTGAAAATAATCAAAGTTTTCATCTTTCTTTATTCACTTGACTTGATTATGTATAAGCTGTTAGTAAAATATTTTCTCTAAGTTATTCTGGGTCTCTAATAAGGGGAATGTTTCCATGCAAAGATGGCAGACATTGATAAGATGTACCTGTGCTGAATGTGAGCCAAAACCTGCAGCTCTTTGCTGCCATTAAAGGGAGAATAGAGAAGCAAAAAGCAGTTCCTGTGAACTTGGACAAACTTTTCAATCCGTTCATTTAATCCGGATTCCTGTAGAGGATCTGGGACGTCTTTAGGATCCACCAGGAGAAATGCAGTCCCTAAAGAATTAAATCAACCTAAATTAAACTTCATACAGCAAAGCAAAGCTTTATTAATGATAAGTAGATTTTAATCCCAACACTAAAAAGACTCATAACATGGGGAAGATTTAGGTTTACAGTTGTTTTCATTCAGGAAAGGAGTTTGTAACTGATAATAACTGTAAATATATCTCTGAGTACAAAATTGGAAATAAAGCTAAATCTATTTTTCTTAAAATACATGCATTAAAATGTTAAGTGAGACACTTTAACAATGGCATAAGACAATTTAATTTGAAATAATAAACTGTTGCATTGTCTTATTTCAAGTGCATAATATCTAATTATCTTAAGAGTAGATTATCTTATTCACCTGCTCAAATTAAAGATAAATTCACTTAATTTAAGAAACTTTTACTTATTTTTAGATCAGTTTTGCAGTGTGTAAAAGGAGGATCATTATTTGCATTTTAATTAAAACAAATTAAGATAGTTCTAACAGTATCTTTATTTAATTTGCTTTCCTTCAAAACAACAAATCTCAGTGTGTCTTATTGGTATTTAATGAAGTAAAAAAAAACAAAAACAAAAAGTGGAAAAAGGAATTTAAAAAGTGACTCAATCCTTTTTTTCTTTTTTTTTTGCAGCTGCAGGTCAGATGTCTGTTTTTACAGAAACTGTTTTTTTTTATTCTTATTTTACTAACTCTAAAGTTATTAATTCAATAAATCATCTGTATCTCTGGCTCTATATCCTGTTTCATTGCCTTAAAGGACGCTGATCACCCACCTCAGCCTCCAGCCTTTACATCGTCCATCATTTAGCTCCATCCATCTTTTATAAACTCTGAGAGCTTCTCTGTCCCTGCTTAAAGTATCACATCCCACAGCATGATGCTGCCACCAGCATATCTAAAAACCGTGTTGATATCAGGCCAATGTGCTAGTTTGCTAGATGATTGGTAGTTTTCCTTACACAAGTTCTGATCTAAATGCTACACCTTTGTGTAGCATTTAGAAAACGCATTTATATTGGTATAAATATGATTTTTATAAAAAAATTATCTAACTGAAACATAAAGATTAGTTAAACAGATTGTTTTAAGACTTTAAATATTTATACAGGATTTTTTTCTGCTTTAATATTTCACTTTTATGAAAGTGTGTTTAATATCTACTTCACTTTCTATATATATATATATATATATATATATATATATATATATAGGCTATATATATTCAAGTAAAAGTAACACATATTTGGTAAAAAGGCTGATGAAGTACTGAGTAACTTATAACATCTGATATTTAGATTTTGATGTTAAATTATGGTATCTCCAAGAATCAAATACAACAATTAACATAAAAATAAAAGGAATTTAAAAATAATAATTCTAGTTAGAATAAACACTTTTCCAAAACAAGGTTTCTTTATAACTTTAAACTTTTAAAACCAGTACATCCAGCGTCAAAATGTACATCTTCCTGTACTGATGAACTTAACCTCCAAATATCATGATAGGTTCAAGCAAGCTTGGTGAAAAAAGTTCCTTTTGACATTAACTGTGTGTCTTTACCTGCACAAGTTTCTATTTATTCACTAAATTTACTCAAGATGGAAGAGAAGTTAAACATTTTGCAGTTTAATTACCGTAGTTAAAGTTAAAAGTAAATACTTTTTCTGTCCAGAAAAGGACTCAAGTATAAGTTACTACCCACCTGTGATGAAACTAAAACATGGAGAAAAGCTGAGATGTACCTGAAAGAGGGAAAATGAAGGAACCAGCTTCAACGCTGTCAGAGAACCTGATCCTGTGCTGCTGTGCGCTCAGCGTCCTGCAGGTGTCGTGGTTCTGCCAAAACATTTCAGAAATTAAAGATGTCGCTCGCGAAATGTCAAATCATGTCCTATGCTAGGTTAGCAAAACAGCTTAAATCGGCAGATTTTAACGTTCTTTCATAAAAGGGGTGTTTTTTTTCGTTTAAAAATTTTTTTATCGTTCAAATCATATTTACCTGGAGAGACGAGCTAATTATAATTGTAGTTTTCCACTGAGCAGTTGGTTCTCCGGAAGTAGCCATTTCTGATAAGAGCCGGATTGATGACGTAAGGTATAAAAACGACGAAACAATCCTGTATGGCAAGTCATTTTGACATACAATCCAAGCTACCCACTAAAAAATATCCTGGGAATAAAATAATTTCTACTGGTAAAAACCTACTTAATAGTACAAATTGTTCTTAGGTGAATTTAAAGTTATAATTGTACCGATAAACCAGTTAATAGTGGACCAATCAATCTCTCAGATATCCAGAAATATTGTTATTCAGAATGAACATCTAAATCACTAAACTTGGTTTCTTCCAGGACCAATGATTTAATATTCCTAATGTGTGTAATGGGTTTACATCTGTGATATGGAGAGAATTCAACTTCATAAATGTGAAGAACTAATTTTATAAATGAAAATCCAAACACATTTTATGTTTAAATTTTTTTTTTTAAATATCTATAGATTTTCAAATGTAATTTTTTAAACAAAAGTTCCAGATTTTGTACTTTTTTACAATTTGTTTCTCAGATTGTGTTTTAGGAATTACATTATTTTCAAGTGGCATTTTATATTATGTTCATATAAATGACCAGTTGATACGTTTTTGCTCCTCACTCCAGAGGAAAGCCCCGCCTCAGAGTTGTACAGAACGTGATCTGTAAAATGCATTTCCAAAGGAAGGCAATCTGTAAAACTCATACTGAAAATAAGAAAATTGTCATTTTTAAAAACCAAATAATGTAATAGAACTGATACAAATTTCAACACGTTGAAAAAACCATAAAAAAACTAAATATATATAAAAAAAAAAACGTTTCAAAGTAAAATATTTTAAATCAAAATTTAAAAGAAAATAGGGACAAAAATGAAGTCTGAAAAAGCAAAATTACTTTCAAAACCTTTCTACAGTTTTATTTCTGGATTGCATTTTTTTATATTTCAATTTACAAATGCAAATATGCAATTATTTTTCTTTCGTTTTTAGACCAAACTGTTAACATTGGCCAACTAGGAAATATTGTTTTAGTTATAGATCAGTAATCACAGGTAACTGCTCCTATTAGACAAAAGAAACTGTCAACAGACCATACATGTGTAATCACAGGTAACTGCTCCTATTAGACAAAAGAAACTGTCAACAGACCATACATGTGTAATGTCTTTAGATGACCGCTAGATGTCGCTGAAGCGCCGTGTACAACCTTACCGGTCTGTTGACGTTCTTAGGTATGACAAAGTGACTATAAAAGAATGTTTCACAAAAAAAACATAGCTTAAAGACGTTATAAAATTGATTTTTTTACATTTAAAGGTTATATAAATAAAATTAATGTTGTATGTACTATCAAGTCACATTATAGCAATGATTCCCACATTATCTAAATGTCTGTTTTATCAAAGAAATAAAATAAAGATATGACGGGATCTTTCATTTTGTTCCAGAAACACAAACCTTTATTTTACACTTAACAGAAGCCAAAAGGCTAATAGTATTTTTCTTTAAGAAACATCAATAAACCATATAAGACTATAAAGAAAGAAAATGCCTTAAATAAAAGACACTATTTCTGTCTTCAGTCTTTGTCTTTTAGTTTTTCCAAAGATGCGACAAATAAATAGTCCAATATACAAAAATATCTGCATGCATACCGGCCCGCTTGTGTCAGCAAAAAGTCTTTTAAAGGAATGTGAATGAAAGTGCAGTAAAGTCCAGAGAGTCCAGGAAATGATGTCAGGACATGGCGTCACAAATCAAATAAATAAAGACACAGTAAACATGTGAGTTTAAACCAGCAGGGGGAGGGGGGGTCAGCTGGCTGTCCAGTGTGTCAGTGATGCGTCTCCAGCTCCACGATGGTCCACTCTCCCTGTGGGGAAGCAGCATCTTCTGGAGAGAAGCTGGTCACCGTGATGCTGGTGGAGGAGTCCTCCAAAGGGGAGATAAGCTCCGCCCACCGTTTGAAACTCTCCTTCTCTGGCGACAGAAAAGCCTGCGTATCCAGGGAGTCCCGTGACAAGGACAAAGTCTGCTTGATGAGGTACTGAGCCAGGTTGAGCTCCTCGGGCACCGGGTTTATAACGCCCAGGTTGGACTCGTGCTCCGACAGGAGCTGCCTGAGTAACCCCCAGTCCCGCTCGGCAAAGTCGCCGCCTTTCTCCTCGTCCGTTTGACGTTTAACATCCCTGTCTTTATCCGAGCAGCGCTCAAACGCTTCTCCCACATCCATCTCATAAATGGGAGAGAGGACTTTGGATGGTCGCTGGTCATGTTTGCAGCTTTGATCCAGTCTGTCAAGACCATTGTCCCCTAAAAACAATTGACAATACTGCAAAATGACAAACTGGAACACTCTTCCACAGTTCTTACACCTCACAGATGACTAAGGGAGAGCTAAACAGGAACACAGGACGGATTTTACCCTTAATGCAACTGTTCCACTTTCAAAACAGGTGCGGTAGCAGCACTATGACGCTAATCCGGTTCATTCTCAGCTGCATGTGAAAGGGTAGACGGTTGCTTTAAAGGTAATGTACAGAGGAGTGTATTTCTGGATGCATCTCTTTATCCAGTTTGGAGAAGCAAAAGAAGTCATGCATTGCCAGCACAGGTGAACTTTGCATTTTTCTGAGCAATAACACTGATATGTTCTGAGGTTTATGCACAGGACTCCTAACAGGCAGAGGTAAAGAACAAATACCGTCACAAAAATGCAACTGCAAGCTGAAGAAAACAAATGTCATGCTGCCATTTTTTATTTTTTTTTTAAACATGTCTTCTTTTTCTGAACACTCACAATAAAGCAAATGGTTTCACCTGCTCACTATCTGATGCTCAGGGTAATATTTCACTTTTGCATGGAGGTGGAACCTCTGTAACAGTTCAGCAGGAGTTCTTAATGGGAATATGAAGTGGAAAAAAAGAGACACATGGCAGAACTGTAACAGCTGCTCTAGACACACATTACCTACTTCAAAATGGCTGCTCGCCTAAAATTACATGACTGAATATTAAAAAACAGTTTGCATAAACATCAGACATCTAGATCTCTACACACACATCTACTGGGTGTGACTAATGTGCAATAAAAAAAAACAACATAAAGGATTGCACGGTAAAACACAAATTTAAAAAGTGACAACATGCATATGTGCCATGCAAAAAGAATAAAACAATAAAAAAATTTAAATAAAAATCAGGAATGGGTATTTTTCTTAGCAGAATGGAAAGCAAAGAGATGCAAACCGATGTGGCGTTGTCTTTTCATACATTTGCACACAGTGGGACTCATACAGGAGTCAGTGGCTGTCAGTTCTCATCGATTTTGTGTTTTTAAACAAAAATGAAATAAAAACTACAGGTTTTAATCAATCTTTTACGGAAGAGGATTAGGGCCGGCGGGGAAAAAAAAAAAAAATTAACTGATTTTTAAATTTTATTTCAGTTTAGTATGGGAAAAAAAGTCAGAATTCTGACTTTAATCTCAGAATTCTGACTTTCTTTCCCAGAATTCTGACTTTTTTTTCTCAGAATTCTGACTTTAATCTCAGAATTCTGACTTTTATCTCAGAATAAAAAAGTCAGAATTCTGAAATTAAAGTCAGAATTCTGAGAAAAGGAAAAAAGTCAGAATTCTAAGAATTCCAATACTAAACTGAAATAAAATTTAAAAATCAGTTAACTTTTTTTTTTTCAGTGGCCCTAATCCTCTTCCGTAGTCTTTTCTGTTTTCCCTTTCTGAGTTTGTGCATGAGTATGATCCTAAGGTTTACCAGTGCAGCTGTTTTAGCAGGGCTGCACTGACTGCTGCTGTGGCTGCTTTTGGATTTTTTCATAACCGTTGCTCTAAGATCATAGCACACCTTTAATATTTTGGTCCTGTTTTATAAAAAAAAAATTATATAAGAATACCGATAAAACAATAAAAATGATTTAAAAACAAGAGGATGCACTCAAATATAAATAAAAAGCTTAGAGCATTAAGAGAGGCTGATTTTTAGACCTTTTCAGAGATGTTCTGTTAACATCTACTTATCAATTTTATTGTTAATTGGTTGGGAAAAAAACAAATTATTTTAAAACCATTTTACAAAAATAACAACGTCCCATAGGAACAAATTTAATGCTTTTTATGGGACTTTTTAATGACTTTTTTGGTTTTAAAACATAGAAAATGCATGGATATTTATCAACAATAACATTGAAAGTAAAAATTAATTTGATTTTGCTCTCTGGATTATAAAAGATTACATACCGCTGGATGTTGAGAGTTGAATTTGAGAAAAATCTGCTTTAAAGTTTATAATGCATCAAACATTCGATTCTTATAATTTAATGAACAGAATTGCAGAATTTAAAGAAAAAAATGGGATTAAAGTAAGATTTGGACACTGGTGGATTAAATTAATCTTCCCATAATTTCCTGGTTGAAGTGAACCAAGAGAGAAAACTACTGATTCCTGAGGTTTCAGGCAGTAAAGTCAGAGACTTCAGAGTATTACACAGCTACCATACTGCAGAGGACATCTTCTGTCATATATGCTGATGTTTGTTAAGGATTTTCAACCACATAAAAATCACAGAACGTCTCTGAAGTACGCATGCTGCATTTAATGTCGAGTTTTGCAGAATAGCGCATGTTGATTAGGATCAATGGAGTGGATTTCACAGCTCTGATGCGTTTCTGCACTTTTCTTTATATCTAAGGACCAAAAAAATGATGGTCAATGCCTTTGTTTGCACCAAACTAAGCGCCATAACGTGATTAAATCTTAATCAGCCCACACAAGGCAACTTTTTATTTATTTATTTGCTGCAATAAATGAGCAGCTGTGGTTTAAAAGCAGCAGCTTCAGTTTTCTGTGAACATTTACAAAAATTCAGCGACAGTTTTCCTGTAGTGGTCAAATTTTTCAAATGTGTGCTAAACAGAAGTGATGGTGGTATTTATATATATATATATATATATATATATATATATATATATATATATATATATATATATATATATATATATATATATATGCCAGGAGTTTGACAGGATTTGAGGAATATGAGCTTCAGAGCTTTTTATTTACTTTATTCTTTAGAGAAAAAAGTAACGTTAGAAATGTTATGAGCTGTAATATCAAAGAGTCCAATGAAAACAGAGATATAGCTAATGTTAGCCAAATGCTCTCTGGCTCAGTCCTTATTTTGATTATAAAGGTTTAGGTAATTTATTTTTTTTTTTTATGAATTTTCTAAATTTTGGTTATTTTTTCCTGTTGGACTGTTGAACCTGAAAACTTGAACCAAACAGAGACTCTAGTAATGAAGCAAATGTGAGCGGTTTTATTTCGGTTCAAAGCTAATGAGGTCACAGTGACGTCAGCACAAATAAAGCAACCCTGAATTCAATCATTAAATATATCCCGATTGCAGGGACAACAGGAATAACATTTTTCTCTTTATCTACATTAAAAGTGCATCAGTTGATCTGTTCACAAGGCAGCTTCTATTTATTCTCATCCTGTAAAGTTTAATTTATCGCTGCCTAAAGGCTCCCAGTTTAAGGTAGTTCAGCTGTTAAAATGCAAATGTTTTGGTTTTCTGCTTCCATGACACCAATTTCCAGGTTTAAATGGATCTTGATGCGGTTCTACGATGGAAGGCGAGATGAATGAAGAGATGATGTGTGTTTATGATTTAAAGTTTGAGGTTTTTCACTTCGCTATTAAGCTCCTTTATATCTTTTTCCTAGAAAAGGTCAGTTTGGGAATAAATCTTGAAAGGATAAATTTGGTGGGGTGGATTTGAGGGAGAGGGGGTCTAAGCTTGGATCATACTTTACCTGCTGGAGATTGTGCAGCTTGCACAGCAGCGCCCCCTGTCAGCTGAGGTTCATTTAAGTCTAGATGTAAATCAGCTTTCTTGCTCTCTGAGGGATTGGCCGCGCCCTTGTTGATCCCTCCGTTGTAGTGTTCGGTGTGGCGCAGGTCCAGGTGGCATGGCCGCTCCTGAGGAGCCGGCTCTCTGCTGTCTGAGTCCAGAGGTTTATCCGGGAGGATGTGATTGCTCTCTTCATGGGTCGGCTCCTGGATCTCGGTGATGAATACAGGCTTGTCTTCGTCGTCTCGGTTTAGCTTCGGGGCGGTCTTGGCCTCGCTCGCAGGGCGTGCGGAGGAGTCGCACTCGAAAACGTCACAGGGGGTCAGAGCTTCGTCCTTTTGCTGAGGCGGCGTCTGGACACCTCCTTCCTCCGAGCCCAGCTCCTCACACTCGTCCACGGAGAGCAGCACTGAGTGGCGGAAGTTGGCGCCAGCCTGGAAGTCGGGCGGCTCGTTGTCCTGGTCCGGACAGTCGTCATCGAAAGCCAGGTTCACAATGCCCTGGAAGTGCGGAGACGGATCCGTCGCTGGCCGTAGACCGCCACTTGGAATCACTTCAACTTCTGACTGCTCATCTTCCGTTTCCTCTTCATCCTCATCCTCCTCTTCATCAGATGAGCACGGCATGCTTCTAACGTTCTCATTCCCGACATCAACGCGCTTCTCCTCCTCTGGAACCTCGTCTCTTTGCAGCCAGGAGCGCGGACGCTGTCTAAGCCCCTCCTCCTCGCTGGTGGTCTCTGTCTCTCTTCCGCGCAAACGGACCTCCACCCTCAGCCCGGCCCCGCCTTCATACATCTTCAGCTCCTCCGGGGTGCTGGTGTCGCTACTGCTGCGACCCAGGAAGTCGGGGCAGCGCATGGTGCCGCACTTGGACACCCCTCTGTCGTTGGAGCAGTCGTCGTCTTGCGATCCTCCGGCGTCGTAGTCCTCAGAGCGGGGCTTGATGTCATCGGAGGAAGTGGTGTGCGTGCTCTCAGACTCTGGGCTGATCTGATGATGGATTCCGCTCCAGGAGTCCTCTACGGGGGTGTCCGTACCCCCCATGCTGCTCGGGGTACCGGCAAGGCGCTCGCCATCTTTAGGGGAACTCTGCGGCCTGATGTCGTGTTCTCCTCCGTTTATGTTAGCAGCGATTTCTCCGCCTAGAAAAGGCTTCATTTTGCTTTTCTCCATTTGCTCGCAATCGTCCACTTCAGCAAAGTGGACGTGGTGGACGTTGTTGGGCGTCGGTGTGACGCTGGCATCGTCCTGGAGACCGGCTTCAGTCTTCTGCAGCTCGTTCTGCGAGCTATCGCCTCTACGGCCAGCAGGTTGACTCAGCCCGGATTTTTTACCGTTCACTGCTTCCGTTAGTTTACGCTCTGACGTTCTGGAGGCTTTTGGTGAAGCTTTTTCAGCCGACGGTTCAGTGGAGCTTCTCAGCTTTGATCCAGACTTGGCAGCTGAGGAGACTTTGGCTGTTCTGGCCTGAGATTTAGCCGAGACGCCGTTCGCCGAAATCGGTTTCTTCTTTTTAGCATCACCGGTGGTTTTATTGGCGCCTGTAGTTCTGAGCGCCTCTTCTTTCCTGGGGGAGGCTTGTTTTTTTGTCAGGCTTCCAGGCTTAGATACTAAACCAAGAAGGAAAACAAATCTTAGAGACTGATTCACTTTCAAACCATTTTAACAGGCGGCCTGATCTACTCACCGTCCGATGCGCCTCGTCCCTTGGTGTCTGGTTTTGCTGCTGCAGCAGACTTTTCTGCTGGACCCCTCTTTGTTTTAGGTGCATCTTTTGAGCTTAATTTATTGATTGGGCTGAGGAAAGAGAGAAACAGAAAACAAACTGAATGTTTTTACAGTTAAATTAAACCATAACAAACACAATCAGCCGAGTCAAACACTTTTCACTGCAGCTTCTGTTTTATTTATGGGATCTGCTGGAGAGAAAATAAATTAGGAATGAATATTTATCACCACTGGGCGACAACTGTGTTTGTTTTCCCTTCAGTCTTTAGGAAAGTTGGTCCTCTGCACAAGAACCAATTACTACATTGAAGCTGCTCCTTCCATAAAGATTCTTCTTTAATTTATCAATTTACAAGTTTATACAAATAAATCTTCACAGGCCTTTTAAACTGTGGAAATATGCATGATTAAAAAAAATATTCACAACCCTATATATTTCTAATCTCTTCATTTTCTTTTGATTTTTTAAAATTATTTTTATTAATGGGCTATGCACACTTCTTAAAACTATTTGCAACTAAATCACATCCCAATGTTATAAAATAAAGGAAAAAAAAAAATAAAAGGAGTAACCATTGGTTATATTTGACTCTTTTTAGACTAATTTTTAAAATAAACTCTCAGTGTGCTTTAATAAAATTTGATCATAAGCACAAACTACTGTCTAATACAGAAGTTAGAAGAAAATTAAAAATATTTGACTTATAAAAATGTTCAGGAACAAAAAAGCAGAATACTTCTGGTGAAAATGTGACGAGTACTGGGTGTGGTTTAGGAACGAAAATAAAATAAATAATTCATCAATGAATTTTAGAAAAATTGACTAATATTTTCAGTAGCGTTGCAGGATATATCGAACCTGACTCCGCCAGATGGATTTGCTCCGCATATCCATCTGGAAACCTTCCGTTGAAGTAATTTTGGGAAGGGGCGAAAATACTGGTTAGCTGATTGGCCTATGTTGGTGATAGACGGGCCAAATAAACCAATCAGATCAACGAAGCATATGACGTACTAACAGAGCGACGACGAAGAGGAGCCAATTGATAGATCAAACTCTTGCCGAAACCAGTCGGGAGAAGAGCAAAAACATCTTTTCCTCTGAGAAAAGCCTCCAGAGCAGTGTTTTGCTCTTCTTTCAGTGAAGAAATACTCTGTAATTCCGATAAAACTTGCTCGATAGCCACGCTAACGCTAGTTTCATTGGCTGAAGCCGCCATGTTCTTTAGACTGAACTGTCGCGCTTCTCGTTGCGTCACACCTCAACCCGCCTCAAAGCCAACGCTGATTGGACGTTCGTTTGGTGAACGGCTCCAAATTTTCTTTAACGGAGAGTCTCCAGACTGATCTGCGAGTGAAACCCTTGAAAGCTCGCGAGATCAGGATGGTCTCACGAAGCTAGGATATATCGGCATTAATATCGTTATCGGTATCGGTCAATTTTACTGCATTGGTCCAATAAGTAAAACTGGGTGGATATGCAGCCGTATTCCTTATCATGTATTTGTCGTTTTGCTTTCAGGAAGGGTGTGATTATGTGGGTTTATTTGGTCATGTGACTCATTATGATCACGTTTATTTATGGATAAAATAAAAAATTAAATTAGTTTGCTGTTTTTTGAATGAAATTCTGAATTACAACTTTATTTAATAAAGCTACATTTCCTTTTACTGTAACTTTGTTTGCATTTAACATGCCGTAGTGAAATAATATGTTCCTTTAAAATATGTGAGAGACTATATTTTTATTTTTTTTCTCCTGGCAGATAAAATGATGCTTGGCAGGAAAATAATTTTATCTTCCAGTGCACACCCGAGTCAAAAAGTTAATTTTAGACCTTGACTAGATGCAGCTCAGGATGTGAAGCAGGGAAGCAATATCAGAGCTCTGGATGGTTTTTAAATGCTGTCCAAAGGGCAGGAAAAGCATCATATCTGTAAATATTGGTTATCAGCAATATTAATATCTACAGATTTCTATCACCTTAGATCAGGGATAACCAATTAAAAATCAGTGGGTCCAATTAAACAAAATCATCAACCAGTAAAGGTCCAGAGACCATTTTAATTATAATCTGTTATAATTAAAAAGTGGTCTGAAATCTTTTATAATCCAGAGAGTTATAATATAATTTAACACTGAAATAAAACGAGGTGTTTAAGCTTCTATATTATACAGTGAATTTTAAAATAAAAAAATACATATTTAAAAAAAAAGAACATATTTCCATAGTGTTTTTTTAACTAGAGAACAATCGTTCAGTTTGGTTTATAGACAATTTCCTGATTCACATTTTATTAAACACCTGAACTGACCGTTTCTTTCTTTTTCCTGTCTTAATGTTGGCAGTGGGCTTTAGGCTGCCCTGCAAGGCTTTAAACCTGGGTTTGAATGGAGACTAAGCCTTTTTCAAGCACATATCAAGGAGCTCATTTTGAGCCTGGATCCAGATTTATTGTTGATTCTGTTCATGGTGGAGAATCCTGCTTCACAGCAGCAGGTTGAGCCAAACATCCTCTAAATGTGCAGGGTCATCTTTGAGCACGCCATTTCACTTTTCTTTCACCAGTTCACCGCAGTTCTTCCAGTAGTCCACTTTCTCTGCTCTCTTTTTCTCATGGTCTTCTCCTTCTTTCCCATCGCCCGGCTTGCCACAGGTTTGCCTGCTGTGTCTAAAAGTAGCAGCAGCAGCAACCCAGACTGACAGCTCATTGGCTCATTTGGATCACGTGCAGCCTGGAGCCGGACGCTCCGGAGGGCTTTACCGTATTAACAGGAGAAGAGGCGCAAGTAATAATAATAGTAATGAATTTTATTTATCATGCACTTTACATTTGATTTCAAATCTCAAAGTGCTACAAAACAAGTTTAAAAGACCATAACATTAAAAACAGAGTAAAAAGACAGTCATTAAAATCAATACATTAAAAGGCATACGTAGCCTATTAAAAAAAATCTAAAATCAACAATTGTAGGAATTTCTAAAAAGGAAAGTTTTTAGTCCTTTCTTAAAACAATCCACCGTCTGTGGGGCCCTAAGGTGGTCTGGGAGGGCATTCCACAGACGGGGAGCTGCGGCTTCGAAGGCCCTGTCTAAGTGAAGTTAGACACTGCTGTCGGACCACATGTGGTAATTTATAAATGTTTTAAATCAGGTTGGGTCCGGATTAGCCAGCAGCCGGGTCCAGATCCGGACCGCGGTCTGCTAATCTGTCCTCTCTGCTATACTGAATTCATTTGCATAATACTGGCTACTTTTAACTTTTGGATTTTTTACATGGTCATGCTAGAAATCAGTCTACCTGTTTTTTTTGTTGTTGTTGTTTGTTGTTATATCATAAAACAGTAACTCCTGGTTATTTTTCTTACAAAGTATGTTTCATTTTTTCTTTAATTGCTTGAAAGCGTTTTAGTTTTACTGATCCTTTTACAGCTGAAGCCTGTTAAAGGAATAGTACACCCAAAACATGATTAGCCTTCATTTTCTACTCACCCCCATGCTGAACAACACTCTGGAGTACTTTTTTGATATCTCAAATGCATCTGGAGATCTGGGAGGCTTCTTGCTGTCTGCTGACATTCAAATAATGGAGGTCTATGGCGCCCGAGGCAGAAAGGTCCATAAAAGTCCACAAAAAACGTGTCAATATTCCTCCATACTGCTCGTCCAATGGATTCCAAGTGTCCTGAATGGGTAGCGTCCATAATTTACTCGAAACGAAGTCATTTAGAATGTTTTTAGAGCATAAACAGTAGTGTATAGAATTTCCTAAAAGCCCGTTCACGAGTCTACGGAAACCGCGGCAGACCAAACCAGATGAAAGTGCGCATTCAGCTCGGCAAAGAAGTCATGCTCTTCCTCAACACTGAAGTCCTCAGACATTTTTCTTTCGTCGTTTCTTTCTTTGCACAGGTAAACGGCACATTTCTTCTTCTACGCTTGCATTATCATCAGAGCAGACGCTGAATGCGCACTTTCATCTGGTTTGGTCTGCCGCAGTTTCCGTAGATTCGTGAACGCGCTTTTAGGAAATCCTATACACTACTGTTTATGCTCTAAAAACATTCTAAATGACTTCGTTTCGAGTAAATTATGGACGCTACCCACTCAGGACACTTGGAATACATTGGACGAGCAGTATGGAGGAATATTGACACGTTTTTTGTGGACTTTTATGGACCTTTCTGCCTCGGGCGCCATAGACCTCCATTATTTGAATGTCAGCAGACAGCAAGAAGCCTCCCAGATCTCCAGATGCATTTGAGATATCAAAAAAGTACTCCAGAGTGTTGTTCAGCATGGGGGTGAGTAGAAAATGAAGGCTAATCATGTTTTGGGTGTACTATTCCTTTAATGTGCATTAAGGCCATAGAGTGAAAGTCAAAGCGAATATCCACTTTTCTCTGTGGATGAGTGTGCATGCATGTTCATGTAGGTATAAATTTGAAACTTTTTTTTTGCTATGAAATGTAAAAAGTTCAATAAAAGAAGGTACCCTTTTAAAAAAATATTTAAGAGGATTACTCTGGCCTCTAACTTTTCGGTGCCTTTGTGTTCACCAAGTGGATTCTAATCCCGTTCATATATTTATTCTTGTTTATTTTTCATGGTTTTTTTGCTCTGTAGAGGAGAGATCAGCTTGGAGCAGCCTTTACTAATTTATAGATGCTCAGTGCTGAGCTGAAAAAGTTAGGATTTTCAAACTCCAGCATCTGATTTAAACAGGCTTGACTCGAGGAACAATACAAAACACGATGGTATGCCAAGACAATCAAGGATGGTGGATTTCCCTGATCTCTGACCGAGGAAAATCACTTATCGGCGACATTCTAGAGAGGAAAGCTGATAATACGTAACAAAGCTCACGTGGCCGGATTATCTCCCTGAGAATCAAGCCTCTCCTTTCTTTTTTTAAATGAAGGACCCCAAACTGAGCAATAAATCAAGCAGATGTCTAGCAGGAGGGTGCCAATGATCTGATCCAAATCAAAGACACTTCGTTCAGGAAGTAGGGACTCATTCTTAGATAAGCTATACAGTATCCAAGATCTTCAAACCACATTTAATTGCAGAGCTTTTCTTTTTCCAAACGCTGCACCATCACGGAATAATGAATACTGATGAAGGTGGACGGGTAGTAAAGCTAAGCTTGTGAAATTTGACTCCAACCTATTTATTTATCAATAAAACCATTAAATTGTTTTTTGTTTTCTTCCCAAAATGCATCAACTTACAGACCAGATAAATAGAATAGAATAGAAAATCCCTTCATTGTCCCACAATGGCGAAATTCTGGTAAATATGATAAATTAAAGTTAGAGAGAAGGTAAAGTTAACTTTTATTCTCAGCTGCAGATTCTAGTTAAATTTCCTTTTAATTTTTAAGAAAATGCAGGTTTTTCAGCCGTCTTGATGCAAAGCAGCCGTCAGTGTTTTCTAAACGACTGCCCAGTGATTCTAAATTTAAAACTGATATTTTTAAACATCCTTGAAGAGCAGAAAAGAGGCTCGTCACAGCGGAACAACCTGACCTGAACAAACAGACATTCAAAGAACACCAAACACTGAACTATTTTTCTTCTTAATGACCATCATCGTTGTTTTATGCAGCCTCAGTTTTATTCCTGGTACATCAAGCAGCCTTTCAGACAGAAAGTGTCGATTCGTCCTTGTCTGTTATGTTTTATTTCTTCTCCAATAATGACAAGTTTTATTTAGAAAGTATTAAAAAAAAAATCTCAATTAATGTTTTGGGAAATATTCCTACGGGAGCAGAGCTTAAAATAAACAGACATGAGGAGTGGATGTAGGACAAGAGAGAAGAGAACAGAAAGGTAGGACTATGAACAAATGATCAATTTATGATAAATTGTTGATAAATGGTTTATTAAAGGAACATTTGCTCTATTAGAATAACGGATAAAGATTGATTTCAAAATTTATACTTTATGCTGTTCTGTTATGACATATAAACACTTAAAGCTCCAGGGGTCCATTTCAGGAAGCAGGTTTAACAAACTCAGATTGAAATCCGCAACTTTAAATTGATCTAGCTTAAAGTCGGGAAGTTTTCTGCTATGAATTAGTTCAATCAACTCTAAGTAGGTCCACTCAGATTTGAACACGTGCGCAATGAAAAGCCATTATCAGTGGAGCCATGATTAGACAAGTCAACATGACGACAAAAAAAAAAGGAAGTGCCATTTCACCCAAATAAAAAATTGATTTTAATGCAGAAATGGAAAAAAAAAGGAGAATGTGTTTAAAAGACATGTAATGTACTTTTTTTTTCTCCATTCAAGCACGTTGTTAAAAAAAAGCAAAAATTATGTTAATGCAAAGATCCTATTGAGACAAGAAAGGCCAGTTTTGTTTTTCTAAAGTGCCGCTTATTAATGTAGTTTTAGTCGATTGAGACGATCAATCAACTTTAGATCAAATAATTTAGCGACAACCCGCATCCCTACCCTGAGTGAAACATCTACAAGCCTGAGGTTAATGCAAAGGAAAATACATTAAAAAGTAATGCTTGTTTAACTCTACTCATTTTCAGACAGATTAGGAACCTTCCACTGGCTCCCTGTATCTCAGAGAATAGACTTTAAAATACTTCTGTTAGTCTATAAATCTCTGAATGGCTTAGCACCTAAATACATCACAGACTTGCTATCAGTGTATCAACCCTCCAGACCACTCAGGTGTTCTGGCTCCTAGAACCAGAACTAAACATGGAGAAGCAGCATTTAGTTCCTATGCTCCACTTATCTGGAACAAACTTCCAGAAAACTGTAAAAGTGCGGAAAGCCTGAGTTCCTTTAAATCAAGACTAAAAACAATTTTTTTTAGGATTGCCTTCGACTGTTCCAGTTAAACAGTTCAACTAAAACATATTTTCTTTAGTCCAACTGTTTTGTTTCTGCATTTTTTTTCCCCCACTTGCTTTGATTCTGTTTTTATCTTCCTATATTTTAATCATGTAAAGCACTTTGCATTGTCTTTGTACTGAATTGTGCTATGCAAATAAATTTGCCTTGTCTTATTGTTTTAGAAGGGTCATAATGGCTTATATTTAAGAAGAAAAAGGTAACTTGTTAATTTCCCCTACAGTGAGGGAATAACTTGTTTCCAGGTGACAAATGAAGCTGAACATTAGTAGGTCTCACCTGCTGGTCTTGGCTGTCTCAGATCTCTGAGGAGGTTTGGTCAGTGGGGACCTGCTGACTGCTTTGGCCTGTTTGGGCTTTGCACCTTGAAACCAAACACAGATACGACTGTTATGGCTGCATGCTGCATGGAATGGAAACGATAAGCTTTAATACATGAAGTGTTCTGGGTTTAGACCAGGGGGAAACCAATTAAAAATCAGCGGGGGTCCGAATAAAGAAAATGAACAACCAGTAGAGGTCTGTAGACATTTTTTATTATAATCCATTACTTTAAACAACATTTAATACTGAAATAAAATGCAAGTGTTTATGTATCCATGTTATACTTTGATTTTTTTTAGATAATAATATTATAATAATAATAAATAGAAAGTTTTTCCATTTTAAAATCTAAAGTGCTTTTTGAAACAATCTTTCACAGTTCGGTATATAGACGATTTCCTGACTTATATATATTTTATTAAACACCTAAACTGACCTTTTTTTCTTGCTTTCCTTTTTTATGGCTAAATGAGAGAAGTGGGCTTTAGGCTGCCCTGCGAGGACATTTAAACCTGGGTCTGAATGGAGACCGCAGTTCTTCCAGCAGTCCACACTTTCTCTGCTCTCTTTTTCTCATGGTCTTCTCCTTCTTTCCCATCGACCGGCTTGCCACAGGTTTGCCTGCTGTGTCTAAAAGTAGCAGTAGCAGCAACCCAGACTGACAGCTCATTGGCTCATTTGGATCACGTGCAGCCTGGAGCCGGACGCTCCCCAGGGCTTTACCGTATTAACAGGAGAAGAGGCGCAAGCAAAGTTATATACTGTTGTCGGACAACATGTGGTCATTTATAAATGTTGGAAATCCCTCTTCCGCTAATCTGTGACCTCTGGTTTAGATGAACCCAAGGGTCAAATAAAAACGGACTGATGCATTGCTTATAACTCCAAGCAAAGAAAACAACTATTTTTGTAGATGTAAACATTTGTAACCTGCCATAAGCCAGATTGATATGTGTAATTCATTCTGAATTCTACACAGTATTAATCTGGATATCCTCCTGTAGAACGTGTTCGCAAAAGAGAAGAACATTCACCACAGATCTTTGAGCTAATTGGGTACCTAGATATGTTTTCTGGGAGTTTGTGAATTCATAAATCAAGCCACAATTCATATTTCTTTCAAGGTAAAAATGTTTGATCTCTCTGTGATATCCACAGATGTTTCAGTTGATCAGTTGTTAGATCAAACAGTTTGAGGTGAAGCAGCTGAATGAACATCCCTCCTCAGAGTGGACTGTATGTTTGAAGCAGCATGACTTAGAGAGGACAGATGAGTATCAGCTGGTCGTCCAGCTCCAGCTCACTCATTAGAGAAGCTCGGGGTTCTGACGCAGAGTGCGACAGCTGGGAAAAGGCTGACCTCTGCCGCCAGCAGCAGCTGGATGTTCTTCGCTTCCTGACAAATCAATGTTCATACACCCAACCTGATTTAAACATTTAGAAATTACCACATGTTGTACGGCGACAGTGTCTACTTTCACTTGCGCCTCTTCTCCTGTTAATACGGTAAAGCCCTCCGGAGCGTCCGGCTCCAGGCTGCACGTGATCCAAATGAGCCAATGAGCTGTCAGTCTGGGTTGCTGCTGCTGCTACTTTTAGACACAGCAGGCAAACCTGTGGCAAGCCGGGCGATGGGAAAGAAGGAGAAGACCATGAGAAAAAGAGAGCAGAGAAAGTGTGGACTGCTGGAAGAACTGCGGTGAACTGGTGAAAGAAAAGTGTGAAATGGCGTGCTCAAAGATGACCCTGCACATTTAGAGGATGTTTGGCTCAACCTGCTGCTGTGAAGCAGGATTCTCCACCATGAACAGAATCAACAATAAATCTGGATCCAGGCTCAAAATGAGCACCTTGATATGTGCTTGAGAATGGCTTAGTCTCCGGTTAAACCCAGGTTTAAAGCCTTGCAGGGCAGCCTAAAGCCCACTGCCAACATTAAGACAGGAAAAAGAAAAAAAACATAGATGCATAAAAACCTCATATTATTTCAGTGTTAAATTCTGTTTAAAGTAACGGATTATAATTTAAAATGTCTCCAGACCTTAAATGGTTGTTGATTTTCTTTATTCGGACCCCACTGATATTTAATTGGTTACCCCTGTTTTAGAGTTTCTATACTCCAGTTAACGATTACTCAATTACTAAATTAGTTGACCATTACTTCAATAATCGATAAATCACAATTAATTTGATTGTTTTAGCCATACTGTGAAGTAAATGTTATATATTCATTGAATTTACTGTTAGAATTCTACATTTTCCTAAAGAAATTTTTATTTAAACCTCTATAATGTGAGGAAAAAAACAATCAGACTGCCATTAAATTTTTTGTCCTGCGCACCCCTGGGTTGGAAATCTCTGCACCCCTGGATAACGAATGTCAGCGATGATGAAATGTGTCAATAAAAGAGGGTGAACCTGGGATGGAGTGGCTGTCGTCCTGCACATTGCTGGCACAGTTTTCTGGCGAGGTAGTGGCAGATGTGGGATGTGCCTGGGCAGACCGGTCAGTCTTCCCTGCAGAGCTCCTCTGTGCCTTTGTTACTCCTGTGCAGCTAAGTGGAGCAGTTTTAGGCCTAGCACCTGGGTTTGGCTTCTTTTCCTGCTCTTTTGACCCATAGGAGCTTCTGGGGCCATTTGCAGAGGCCACCTCTCGCTTTGCCCCAGCAGCTGCGTTGCCGTTGACGACCGGTCTGCCGGCTGATGTCGCCTTTGCTTTTGTTGCCACGCTCCTGTCTCCGGGTTTCTTTCCGTTCTTGGCTTTGGAGTTCTGGCTTTCTCCTGGTTTGTTAGCTGCACTCAGACCATCGGATTTCATGGCTGATGCTGCGCTGTTTGTCCTGTGAACCGGAGAACCCTCAGGCTGAGTTGTGGGGCATTTTACAGCCTTTGACTGCAGGATAAAAATACACACAAAGGTCACGTAACTGTAGGACATTACTGGGTCAATCAGCAGGGGAAGAAAACAGCAAACTGAAAAAAGATAAACCGCCCTGTCAGATATGGAGTGAATTTTGTTCCATTTTGTGTCGAGTAAAAAAAAACGTTCAGTCAATAAAAAAGGGGAAAAAAAGAAAAATCTCAACAATTTCAAAATAAAAAACAGTTTCAAGAGTAAAATTTTTCATTATTCTAATTTGATATTTTATTCTTAACTTTTTTTGCACAATTTTATATTTTTTTGTTGTTTTGTCAATTTTCTTTTTCAGATTGAGTTTTATCATTTTCATGTTTTTTTACATTTTTACAGATAAAACTCTCTAAAATTAAAGCTCGATAAAATTTTGTTTCCAGCCTCCAGCAAACCAATAGAAATGCGTCTTCTTTGCTCGTCACTCCAAAGGAAAGCCCGCCCCCAAAGGTGAACAGAGTGAGATTTGGAAAATGCATTACAAAGAATGCAATTCATAAAACTTAATCTCAAACAGCGAAATTTGGAAAATAAAACTTGGAAATATATTTGTAGAAAATACTTTATCTTAATCTTACATTTTTTTTTTTTTCAAAGTTTAATTTTTGTAAAACTTATTTCTTTTCATTTCCAATTATTTCCAGTAATAATTCACTGATTCTTGGGAATTTGGATAAAACAGGTTTTAATTTTGAAAATAAAAAGTTAGTTGGATTACAAAATCTGAAGGTATATTGTTATAGACCAAGGTCTTGGCTGTTCAGCAGTGTACAGGTGCAACCTCCTCATTTTGTATTTCTTTCATAAAATAGGCATTTTTCCAGTTATTACTTTGTTTTTGTCAACACCATCAGACACAATAAAAAGCTAATTATTTTTTATTTATTTGGTCTAATAAGTATTTAGAGTTTTTAAATCTTTATCTGGCATTGTTAGCACACATTTATGCTGTTAAATGTTGAATAATCATTTTTGTTAATTTTTTTTAACTGTATCATGTGTAGTCCTTTAAAATATCTAACATCAGATAACGTTTACTTTAAGCCTAAATAGAAAAAGTCATGTTTTTTTATTTAACAAACATATTTTTGTATTAAAAGAGACCATTACTTTAATGAGAGAACAGCACTGAAGAAACATATTGCAAGCATATTAATTTAAAACGAATAAAAAGCCCTCTGACGGTGGTGACTTTAGAACTGACGATGGTGACAGTGGCCTCATTTCAACATACAATTCCAAACTGTATACAATTCAAGTCAATGGTTTCTTGCTTATTAACTTTATTTAACTATTTGGTCCAAAAAATAACAATCATGAGCACTGTGACAAATATTTTTCAAGGAATATAAGGTACAATTAAGAAATATCATTATCAGTCAGAATCATTCTCTGATGCTTTATTTTCTTGCGTGTGATTGTGTCCTGTTTGTCAGTTGTCATTCGTGCTGCATTATGGTAGAAATTTTGAACCTTCTGAGTAATTGCTTGAATATATGTAGTTTTTTTGTCAGTAGGCCTTCACACTTCTTTTGATATTCCCTGTTTCTTTTCCTTCTTTCCTTCACAGATAGCTGCTTCCTAGCCATAACTTCCTAAAATACATAAAGTCAAAGTTGAGTGTAATGACTATGAAATTGGGGGGAATTACAGTAAATGTTAGATTTGGTTAAATGTTGCCCTGCCATAGCTTACAAGGAATATTGTATACTATGTGCTATGTAGGTAGGTAGTAGGTGCACTATGTGCATCCCAAATGATGTAAACCAAATGAACATGGCATAATAGTGAATTGAGAGACAGGGAAGGCACACCCCATCCCCTAGGGTTATACAATATGTAAGAAATCTAGGCGGAATTACATAAATAAAAATATAAAAGAGGTTAATGAAACATTACAGATCAACAATTATTTTCTAGCCTCCATTGAGAACCATTTGTAGTTTTTTGTCACCACCGTCAGACTGTGCGTCACCACCGTCAGACAGAAAATCTGACGGTGGTGACGTCTGACGGTGGTGACAAAATCCTACTCTTTCACATGATATGCATGAGTTGTTCACATTAGCCATCTTGTTTCCCCTCTGTTGCTAGCTACTTTAGACCTCTTCTTAAAAAGTAAACATTTATGTCATAATCTAATCTAATATTTTTTATACAAAAGAGACGGTGTTGACATGTTATGGTTGTGACATTAGCAGTGTCCAAAAAATATGAACAAGTTTAAGAGAAAATAGCAAACCTACAGGAGCTTGAGTGACCTTAAGGCATCCAGTAGAGCTGAAGATTTGAAAATGGGGTCCTCAGGCATGTAGTTGACCTTTTAGTTGCCTGATTTTATTGCTTTTTATAAATATCTGACGGTGGTGACAAATATGTGGGACACATTTTGAACAATCACAAAATAATGGTTATTATTGTTCAAAACTCACTGTTTGTAGTTTTAAATACATATTAAAATGTACCCTTTCATTTGGTAAAGATATTATTCAATTCAATTATTACTTTTTGTTTTTTTAATCAAGTTGAAATGATTATCTCCTATCCAAGGACAACTGATTTTATAGGCAATGGGCCAGCATATAATCATTAAATTAACAATAAAATAAAAAAACTTTAAAAGAACCTTGCATTTGTGCAAAGGACCCCCTGATTATAACCTTGATTGTTTTTATTCATGAAAATTTTATTTCTTTCCAACAGAATTAGCACTTTTCTTAGTGGGACATGTTTTTGCCAAAGTTTCAAGAATCAGTGAATTGAGTAAAATTCCCTCCATAGATCCAATGATCCTCTCTGAGATCCACTCTAATCAAGTGTTTTTTTTAAAGTTCAGTTTTCTATTTTGAGAGAACAAAGAGAGAGATTAAACCCCACCTCACTGTTTGAAGGCCCTTCCCACCTGAACTGTAGGACCTGCTGTGCTTTTAGCCACTAGCTTCGAACATTCCTGTAATCTGGGTGACATCTGTTACACTATGAGAAAACCTGTTGCTTATTTTAGATTCCTGGCTGTTATTATGCAGACATTGGTTACTAAAGGCCACACACTACACCCTATAAACCCAGCTGTTTGGTCCTTTAAGTTTGCATCATTGGCTTTAGCAAAAACTAGGGACACAGAGAGGACAGCAATCAGCAGTTTTGCTGTTATACACCGGAAAAAATGATGGATGTTTAGTTTTCTGCCATTTGATCAGTGATCAGGTTCAGGAAAGGGGAAAATCGCCTGTTTTATCCTACTTTGTAAATCAGCCACTTGATCTCAGTGGTGCTTTGAGATGAAAACGTCTCTGTCAGGCCACAGATATAAGATAAAAATTTTTAATAAATATTTTTGATTAAAACTGCAAAAACTGTATTCATTTCTGCATCAGTGGGTATAAAACATTTGTAGGTAAGTAAGGTTTATTTATATAGCACCTTTCTCAGACAAGTGTCACAAAGTGCTGTACAATATAAGGCTTAAAATACAAAGCAACACAATATAAAATACATGTAGGCGAAATAAATACTGTCATAGCAGAACTTGGTAAAATACATCTAAAATGCTTGGTTAAAAACAAATGTTTTTAGTTGTCTTTTAAAATCATTCATGGAGTTCACCAAGCAAAGGTAAAGTGGTAGAGTAGTCCACAGTCTGGGTCCGACTATCTAGCCTGGGTGCCATTCCTAACTTAGTCCCGCCCACAACGTTTGAGGTCGGGAAGTTCGGTCTGGCATTGCTCAACAGTAGCGCGACTATGCTAGCACAATATCTGGCGATCCAATCAAATTGTCAGGGCGGGCTTTATACGATGATGGACAGATGATCAACAGTAACGTAATCAACCACGTGACCAAAGCGCGCTTGGGTGACAACAACAATGGCTGCCGCTGGAGAGTTGAGGTGTGTAGATTCTGCTATTAGGTCTGTTCTAGAAGATATCGACAGCAAATTAATTTTAAAAGAGGAACAGAGAAACGCGATCAAGGCTCATCTTCTTATTCTAGGCGTGCAACTGCACGCTTTGATTTTTGTTGACAACAGCTGTGCGTCGCTTAACATACGTCACACACTCCGTTGCTCTTATTGGTTGTAGGTCTATCCAATTGAGTGCAGAGGCATTTTTTTTCCTGGTTTCGTTCGAAACACGCCCCATAATCACAGCTCTATGGAGCAGCATCAGACTCAGATTCTGACTAGAATTGAGAAGGACTACGTCAGGCTACCGACTATCACCTCTCGTCCTAAAACGGGTTCGAGGGGCCATTAACAACTGAATCAAGTCGCATATATAAGATGGAGCCTGTCCATGCAGGGCTCTAAAGGTCAGGACCAGAGTTTTAGCTTTTATGCGATGTTCGATGGGAGGCCAGTGTAGAACTTTTAGTTTTTATGCCATTCAGCTGGTAAAAAGTATCCATGACAGTCCAGATTGCTGCTGCAATGCAGTGATGTTTTATTGATGCCCTTTATTATGCCCCTAAAAAGCTGTTTATATCATCTAATACCAACAAATGGCTGCTATAAGAGCTTTTATATCTGTGGTTTATTTTTTACTTTTAGTCCCGCCTTTGAAATCAGAGACGTCGGGTCATTTATTCTGGCTATCAGAGGCTAGAAGAAGCTGTAATTCAGTGAAGTTGGTTTTAATTTGTGTATATATATCTTGGTTCACATCCTGGACAACAGAGAGAGGTATTTGTAACTTTAGAATGTTTTGGATAAAATAATCCTTTAATTTTTACTCTAAAAACTTGTTTGTATTTAAGCAAAAAGCAGAAAAAGGTTGCTTTAAGAATCACACAAAAAGAATCAGTTTTGTAAATGTGGTCAGAAAATTTTGATTTCTCTTATTTCATTTATTAAATTATCATATTTATTCACTATAAAGGTTTTCACTCAGTCTGTTTCAGCCACACAATTCTCTGCGTGAGTTTGTTTGTGGACCAGACATGGCTTCTTCCCAAACAAAGCCAGATTCTTTCATAACCTGTTAACTGTTTAACCAAAGTGTCTGTAATTTGTATCGCCTGTAGCAACTTTCCATTATTGTAAGTGGGGGGAACCCACTCTGCCCAGGCAGAACAGGACTGAATACCAAGCAATATATGAAGTGTTGTAAAAAGTACTGAAATCTCGGAGTCAAGTAAAAGTATAAGTACCTCTCCAAAATATGACTTTGGTAAAAGTCCAAGTCACTGACTGGAATGTTACTTGAGTAAAAGTCTTAAAGTATCTGAAATGGCTTGTACTTAAGAACAAGAATTACTGTAAAAATAGATGTACTCAAGTAATGTAGTGAAAAGTGTAAGTAAAAAGTAACTGCAGTTTGAATGACATTTTTTTACATTTTGGTAAACTTTGAAGGTTAAATTCACTTAAAATAATTAGGGCTGGTCAACGATTAAAAGTTTAATCACGATTAATCTCATGATTTCCCTGATTAATTGTGATTAATCACATTTTTATACGCAAAAATACAAAATGAATTCAAAAGTAGTGTATAGCAAAATTTTATTTTAAATGTTCTGCCATATTAAAGGAAGTGCCATAACATTTGTTCTGCAAACACTTAAAATCAGCATTTTGTTTATACAGTAGCAGTTAAATAAAAACTGCCCACAAAATCCTGAGCCACAATCATAACAATAAAACAGGCAATTTCTGAGGTAACAGCAGAATTTTTTATTTTTAAATCAGGGAGTATCATAACCAGTCTAGTACCAAATGTCCCTGTTAGATTGAGGTGAAGCACAAAAAAAAGTTTACTGCTGGGATTTACTGTGCAGGGAAATAGTCTTTAAATATACTAATCGGTCTGTAGCGATCCACTTCGCTATGGCATTTGTTAGCTTCTCTTGACTTTGTTTATCTATACTTCTCCCACATGCTGCATCTAACAGTCTGCTGAAGCCTCGTACCACTGTCTATTTCGTTAAATGATTTGCTGGCATCAACTGTGTGTTTTGCATTTAGGCAATATTTTAGACTCGAAGTACTCCCGTGATAAGACAATTCAACTTTGCAATGATTACAAATAACTTTGCTTCTGTCAACTGCGCCGTCTGAAGGAACTTTAAAAGGAAAATGGCCATGTAAAAGTGCCGTACCCTTCTCCAGTTTGTTGATTTGTTTATCCGCCAATTTCTTTTCTTTTTCAGTTCCCGTACTTCCGTTTCCGGTACTTTTAGTTGTACCGAATAAAAGCCTGGGAGCAACAGACTTTTACAGTAATAAAAGAAATAATAAAAACTGCGTTAATACGAGATAAAATAATTGTCGGCGTTAATTGATTAATAAGTTAACGTGATAATAACGAGTTAACTTGCCCAGCCTTAAAAATAATACAAACAACCAAGTTTAGGATAAATTTAGAATGGCTTTGCGAAACAGGCGTATCCTATTGGTGTTGATGAACGAACCCAGGCAAGACCTGACTTTGTAGTCAGTAGGGGGGGTCAAAACTATTGCGTTTCTCTCGCTCTTTTTTTTTTTTTTTTTTACTTAGTAACTAAACCAAATATTGAAAATGTATCGGAGTAAAAGTACGCAATTAAGTTCGTAAATGTAGTGAAGTAAAAGTTCTCAAAAAAATGTATACTCTTAGAAAGTATAAAGTACTCCAAAATATACTTAAGTACAGTAGTGAAGTATTTTTACTTCGTTACTGTACAACACTGGCCGTATGATGAACTGTTCTCTCTTTGCAAAGATATGAAAATAAAGTGCCGACTGAGTGAAATCCGTCGATCTCTCTTTATATAACTGGGGTAAATAGTTGAATACTTTTTTCCTACTACATAAATAAAATGAAAATTTAACATTTCGATCCTGAAATAAGCATCTAAGAAATAAACAATCCTTACCTGTGAGCTGGTGAATACTGGCTTTTTACCAAGCCTCCGATTGTCTCCTTTATCAATAGCTTCTGTTGGGAAAAAGGCGAGGAAAAAACCCCACCAACGAATAAATAAGTTACTGACCTTAAAAGATCCAATACTTTGATATTATTTCATTCAAACGTTGCATATCAAAACAGATTTAATGATTTTCCATCTTTATCTGGTCGCTTCCTCCATCAGCAAAGCTCCACATCTGTCTGTTCTGAATCTTTCTTCATGCTTTTCTGCCCATTTGGCATCATGAACATGCACTTAAGGACTGTAGGAATACTGGGCCAGATACCCCAGATCAATAATTCATGCGGCCCATTTCCAAATATTAGCTTCAACATTGATGAAGCAGATTAGTTATTGCATTTGTAAAAGCTTTATAATGTATGCAGAGCCACAGCAGCAGCAGCAGCAGGCTGAGCTTTATCCTGTTAAAACCACAGCATGGCGCATCTGGTGCATTTTTAGCTCCAGACACAGTGCCATCACGTTTCATAAAAGCTCTGGCCAGATATTAAATGGGTTAGCAGCGATCAGGCAGCTGTAATGCAAGAAGCTAAGCGGTCCAGTGAAGAGGCTTTGGAAAATTGTTACTGCAGGAGAGCCCAGAAAAAAATAGAAAGACATGCAGATATCTCACGTGAACAGAGTGGGTTTTCAGTCCTTACCTGCTAGTATCCTCTCTTTGTGTTTGGGTGACAGTGCCTCCCATCCCTGCGTGTGGCGAACCGCATAAGAGGTTTGAAGCAGGAAGGTCCAGAGGCGTCCGCGTAGCGTGCAGATCTCCTGCCTGAACGGCTGCCGGGGATTCAGGGGGAGACAGGCAGAAGAATGGAAGGGGTGCGCTACAGCACGGGCGAATCAGCAGCTGCTTCAAGAACCTTTCACCATGGCAACAAATACCCTCCCCTCCTCCCTTTTTCCCTCTCTCTCTCTCTCTCTCTCTGTCTGTCTTTCTACCTCTCCTTCCCTCCCCCTCTGTGTCTAAATTCACTTAAGCTCTCTAAACAGAGTCTGTGATGTCAGAAAGCGACACCAAATTCCTGGGTTTTAAGATGGAGCTGGAGGACGAACGGGGGGCTTCCACTGCCACCAAGCATCTCACCGACAAAACACCAGCTTCAACGTTACACGCAGGGCTAGATTAGTGAGGACGTCACGGTATCCCTCAGCCTAATCCATCCTGCTCTGCTGTCCAGGGCTACCGGGGGTTTTATACGCCTACAACCAGGTCACTGTGATGGGAGCCGGCTCACGAGCTCAGCTCTCATCTTAACATCGATTTTCAGGCTTTAATCAAGCTGCTCAACTGAAAACGAAGCAAAGACTTTGGATCCATGGCTGTGAATGTTTGAGACTAACGGATAAAATCACATACATTCTAAAATTAGAATGGGAGGCAGATCTTTTAGTTATCAGGCTCCTCTCCTGTGGAACCAACTACCAGTTTTAGTCCGTGAGGCAGACACCCTGTCTACTTTTAAGGCTAGGCTTAAAACTTTCCTTGTTGATACAGCTTCTAGTTAGAGTGGCTCAGGTTATCCTGAGCTATCTCTATAATTATGCTGCTATAGGCTTAGACTGCTGGAGGACATAGAGATAGAATGAAGCAGAATGATGAAAAGGGGGTCCCTATTATCCAACTCTGCCATCAACACCTTTGTTTATAAATGTTGGAGCTCGGCCTGTTTTTCAGTGTAGTCCTGTTTCTCTGACTGTGACTAACTGGATGTGCTCTCTTCATCCTCTGACATGGGAGCTGGCTCAGAGCTCGTCTGCCTGGCTGTGTGTTTCCTGGACGGGGCCGCCTTTTACAGTTGCCTTTTGTATCTCTGCTTACCAACCGGGCTCACTTCTCAGGAAGCGGCCACGATTAACAGTTAATGAAGCATTTTATACATCTCCAGTCTGCCGATCCATGGCTCCAGCCTTATCAAAATATTACACTTTGATCTTAGCTGAAGGACACCGCTCTTATTCCATTCCCAAATATTTCCCACGTACAGAATGAAGATTATATCTGTATATAATTAGATAAACTATTAAGGAAAACATCAGTTCTGACACGCAACAGGCAGCTAATATTAAGGTGCAATAAACTCACACATCATCAATGATAATTATCCTCCCATTTAGCGGGTGAAGGTCAGCCTTTGCTGCTGCCACAAAACTGGATTGCAGTTCATGTGACAGTTTGGAGCTTTCCACAGCTCCACTTTATGTCCCATGATGGTCTTTCCTTCAACCAATCCCAATGAAGAGATTGGCAAGCAAACAGATATCTAAGAGTTGTCATGGAAACCTAGTTTCACTGGGAAAACATTTTTGTTTCCTTCGATGGATGTGAACGGATTACCGAATCACCCTGATCACAAACACAGGGGAAAAATTCAGACTTCAGTCAAAGTTTCCAAACAACTTCAGGATCTCATGCTTCCAACTACAGCTGCTAAAAGCTGCTGTAAAAATTACGCAAAAAAATGATACTTCTTTACACCAAGAATATACTTAAATGTGATTGATTTACCTCCTCGTGCTTTTGATATCCCTGGTGAAAATCCCCCTCAAAGTTATCTTCACAAAGAGAGTGGACAGCAGTGAAAAGATCACAGCAGTTATCCACAGTCACACCCTCTCTCACAGCCAAGCAGAGCTTCTTCAACAGCGTCGGCTCTCTAGTAAACTCCTCCCTCTGCAAATCGGACACACGGCAACAGAAAGAGAAAGTTGCTTTAAAAGGATGGAGAAATGTCACTCTAACCCCGAATCTGCTGCCCAACAGAAACAGGTTTTAAAAACAATTCCAACGTTTTTCATACTGAACATAACACAACATTTCAATAAATCATGTAAGGAAGGAAAAGACACAGTGCAAGTTAAAGCCTGTAGATTAAAAAAATGTCTAATAAAAAAAAACATTGTGTATGGAGTTAAATTTGTTTCATTATTGTTGCAAAAACATGTTTTGTAAATGGAAACTCAAACAGAAAAAAATTGAATCCTGAACTGAAAAAAATGCCTTAACCGAAACATTTTTTTTTAGAGTAACCGTTATTTTTGTTTTGTTTTGACATATTCAGTACGTTTTTCATTTTTCTAAAGCTCTATAGAACTGCAATGCTATTTGAAAAAACTTTGTAAAATTCTATCTGAAAAAGAGATGCATTATGAGGTGGTTTTACTATTAAGACCTATCAAAAACAAAATGAAGACTTAAATTCTAAATCATTGGATTTTAGACTTTACCCTGCAGAAAACTTACTTTTCATATTATCATTTATATCATTTCTTCTTTGTTTTCATACTTTATTTTTCCAAATTTTGGTTTTTCAAAATTAGTTTTACATATTGCATTGTTTTTTTTGTTTTGTTTTTTATTTCAAATCACATGGGCTGTGTCCGAACGTCTGCTCTAACCCCTGAATTCCTCCATCACTATATAAAGCTGGTACTATATAGTGGACTTTATAGTGAACTAGGTTAACTGACTGTTAGGACAGATGATCACTGCTTTTCGCTCCATTTACTTTCGTTGGTCACAAGGGTTGTCAAAAGTATCGAGACTCAAAAACGTATCGATACCAAAATTTTGTATCCGGATACAATACTCGTTTTTAAAAGTATTGATACAGTGCTACAGTGCTTTGTTTCTTAACCGGTTTGGCTAGTGTCATTGTTATGTGTGCAAAGCATAGCCAAGGAAGGTACACTTAATTTTAATTTTATAAGTTTTTTATCAAGCTTGCTTAATATTGTGCACAGCAAACAACCTCAAAATATTGTTCTTATTGTTTATTGTATTTATTTATTGTATTTTATTTATTAATGAAAATATTTCTGTAGAATTTTGGAGTCTTTGTTTTTATCCTTGTGGTATCGAAAATGGTATCGAGTATCGAGTATTTTCCTTAGTATCGGTGTCGAGTTGAAAAGTTTAGTATCGTGATGTTAGAGTGATAACTATCCTGTGTTTCAACCAGAAGGGTCATAAACTTTTATGACCTCCTGTAGGTCATGAGGCAGAGTCACGCGGCTGTGTGACTTCCATCCAGCCAGTTGGTCAATTCACACTATCTTGTTACCTGCATCCTCCCAGACAATGATTACTGGCTCTTCTGTTTTAGACTCGCCTGTTAGATGTTGTAAACTGTTAATAAAAGGCTTTGCTATGAAGGGATCTGGGTGAGAAGGTGATGGCTTTCCAAGCCAGCATCTTCTCTCCACCCGGCACACACTGACGTCACAAAACCCTGTCTCTGTGTTGATCATTTTCCTTTTAATCTTTTAAACTCACATTTCTCTGGATTAAAACCCAAGACGTGACAACCCTATTGGTCACTTGACTCCGGCTTCCTGCTCTGTGCCTGCGCTGTCTTCGCTCTATCTCGCCCCAAAAATAAATCCCATGATGCTTTGCGAGGAGAGCTTTTGCAGAGCAATCTGGGATACATCTGCTCGCCTAGTGGCCTTCAATGTACATCACTTTTCAAGGTGCATTGTGGGAAATTTTGAGAATTTTTTTAAAGGTGGAAAAAGAAAATAAAAAAAGAAAGCCTAAAAAATTTCGGGGGAAAAATGGAAAACAAAAAACAAAACAAAACAAAAAAAAATCTGAACATTTGGAAAATTTCCTCTCAATGATTACAGCATTTTTCACAGTTTTATTCTAGATTTCAGTTTTTCTAATTTGCAATAATAAATAGCAATCTTTGCTTGTAACAATAAAGAAGCAAAATTCACTCCATAGTTCTGTTATGTGAGATGCAATTCACATTAAAAGCTGATATATCTTAACAAAATATTAAAAAGTTAAGTGATATAAACACATCTGAAATGTAAGGACTCAGGAAGAGTTACCCTGCGGAGGTCCTGGAAGGCCTGAGTGTGGATGACCCTGGGGAGGTGCTGGACGATGAAGCGCAGGCTCTCTTCCTGAAGTTCTATGGCCATGCACCTCACATGCTGAGCCCACTTCACCTCTGGGAGGCTGCCGATCAGCTGCTCGATGCCGCACAGCAACGTCACAGCGTTCCGCACAGTCTGAGGGGAAACATCTATCAGCTAAAGAAAAGCTCTCTAGGAACAAAACAGAAAAGGTGAAACAAACGGCATCAGACAGAGAGGCGTTAATTACTGCTGCCCTGTTGATGGAGGAAGGAAACCCCCTCATTGTGTAAGCGCTCTAACCCCCAATCTGAATATCAGCCTGAACCACGGCGTGTCGAAAGACTCCGCCCCCGAATACAAGCATGGATCGATCTCCATTTGTCAGCATCCACATCCTAAATTAGCCAGATGTTAATAACAGAGAATCCAATAAAGCTCATCTCTGATTAGATCACGCTGCTGTTTCCTTCCTGGTGAAATAAACAAATGCCTTGTTTGAAAAGGGAGCAGCAGAGGACCGTGGGGGGGAATCCACTCACCATGGTTTCTGTTACGGCGGCTATGCAGGTGCGCTGGAGCTCGGGGGACAGGAGGGAGAAGTTCCTCTCACACCAGGCTTTCACAAAATGCTCCGCTACCCACCTGGAAAGGCAGAGCGGCAATATTAGGATGAGAACTGTGTGTGTTTATAGCCCTTTTTACTTTGGCGTCTCTGAATGAGTTCCAGTGAAACAAACAGCCTTTCATCACATCACATCATTAGCGGAGAGTCCACTTGTGTGCAATGTAATCCCATTATAAACGCAGCATCAGAGGTTCGCTGGAGAACCTTAGCGGACGATTAGCATCACAGAGACGGTCAGGGAGGAGGTTAGATTACAGAACGTCTCACACACATTTCCAGAGAGTTAGTCGTCCACCTGGACCCACAGGTCTGTCAGGAAGAGCCAGGAGGACCATATTCACTTTGGTGGAGCTGCAGGGGGTAAAATCTGTCTATCTGTATGTTTTCCTGCTGTCAGCTAGCCTCGTGAGACCATCCTGATCTCGCGAGCTTTCAAGGTTTCACTCGCAGATCAGTCTGGAGACTCTCCGTTAAAGAAAATTTGGAGCCGTTCACCAAACGAACGTCCAATCAGCGTTGGCTTTGAGGCGGGTTGAGGTGTGACGCAACGAGAAGCGCGACAGTTCAGTCTAAAGAACATGGCGGCTTCAGCCGATGAAACTAGCGTTAGCGTGGCTATCGAGCAAGTTTTATCGGAATTACAGAGTATTTCTTCACTGAAAGAAGAGCAAAACACTGCTCTGGAGGCTTTTCTCAGAGGAAAAGATGTTTTTGCTCTTCTCCCGACTGGTTTTGGCAAGAGTTTGATCTATCAATTGGCTCCTCTTCGTCGTCGCTCTGTTAGTACGTCACATGCTTCGTTGATCTGATTGGTTTATTTGGCCCGTCTACCAACATAGGCCAATCAGCTAACCAGTATTTTCGCCGCTTCCCAAAATTACTTCAACGGAAGGTTTCCAGATGAATATGCGGAGCAAATCCATCTGGCGGAGTCAGGTTAGCTGTCAGCAGCCATCCTGAGACAAACGGACCCCCCCCCCACCTTTCAGACGTGTACAAAACTCTATTTTCTAACCATATATCTCCCTTAGAGTTCCCCTATACAGTTATACGCAGCTTAGAGTTGATCTACTACATGAACTCCAACTAAAGTTCATGTTTGGGTGAGAAAAGAAAAGGTCAGGGACTGCAGGATGTTTAGTTAGCCTCTGTAAAAAGATGGCAGCTCAAGCAACAGAAAGGCGAGGCGCCAAATCAGCTTCATAATGTTCTAGAATCTGAAAACAAATATTATTAACAAATATGGCGAATAGATTTGACCAAATCTAGTTTGTTGTTAGAACAGATTAGCCCTGACCATCACCTCTTGGGCACCTTGTTACCTAGCAACCAGACACTAAAAGAAAAGCTCTACAGACTCAAGTGGCTGCTTGCAAAGAATGAAAACAGATTCAGGGCTGCTTTCATCAATTTCTATAGGAATAGTTTAATCTATCAAAGGAACAAGGATCAGGATCTTTGAAAGCATGGCTGCTGAAGATGCGGTTGACTGATGATTGACAGAGAGAAATCTTAATAGGTGAATTTAAACAAAATTTATTTCTTATGGTAAATTGCTGCCTTCAGGGTTAATTAGGTTTGTTAAAAGGTGGATTTTTGTAAAGTAATCAGGGCTTTATAGCTGTATTTTCAGAGCTGGTTGTGAGTCATTTTTTGTTTTTAACGTATAAAAGTCAATCACAAACAAAGGAGGTGATTTAAAAGAAACCGAAAGACGCAAGAAGCCATAAACTGAGGAATATGAGAAAGGAGACACAAATCATCTGGTTCAATATTTCATTCATCTGCTGAGCTTTTAGCTCCCCAAAAATCTGGATATAGATGTTTGCTTTCTTTATAATAAAAAAAAAAATGATATTGAAAGATTATCTTGGTCTTGGCATAAAAACATTCAGGTTTTTACAGGATTCTATCAATTCTTTTTTCTGATTAATCTATAAAAAGGCAAACCTTAGTAAAGGTAACATTTCTAAATAAACAAACAAATTGGAGAATGGAGAGAACCATTTATTCAATTTTTAAATGAATTGAAAAAGATATAATATTATACATATATACATATGACATTGTATCTTATGTTTATAAATGTTTCTCAACATAAAATATATAGAATGTAGGAAGGTTGTTATTTCAGGAAATGGTCTGTTTTAGGTTCTTTGTACCTTTATTCTGGGTAATGATTTGTTTCAATAATCAGATTAGATAGAATAGAAAATCCCTTTATTGTCCCCCTGAATAAGTGTGGGACAATAAATAACAGAATAAGTGGCAGAGTTTAAAAAAAATAATAAAATACTGTACTGAGGGGCATACAGAGTGGCGGGCTAGTGGTCAGGGCATAGAGCTTAGAATCCTGAGGTTCTGAGTTCCAGCCCCACTCCCACAGATTGCCATTCATTTCGTTGCTCCATACTTGTGAGTGTAATGACAATAAAAAAAAATGTAAAATTATGAATACTGTGCAGTTTCACAATTAAACAGATTGTTAATTGTTTTTAATCCAGCTCCAGTAATGGACTGCTGTTATGTTTCTACATAAACCATCATCAGAGGCAATCCTACCTTTTACAGAGCATGTGAAGGTTTTGGAGACCTAAGGCGTGTGTGAGGGACAGGCACTCAAGAATTGTTCTCTGAACTCCGTCAACTGGCTGCTGTAAAACAGAAAAATTTGATCCCTCCATTTAAAAACCGAGGCTTTAGGTGCTCATTAGCATATCTGGATTAAATACCAATAAACCAGTAAAGTGTCAATTAAATGAAAGGTCAAAGTTCATGCTAAAAAACACCAATGTGGTTCAGCCTGGACAGTGAAGTCAAAAGCTTTGTATCCATGGTCTCTTTATGCAGCATAATGCATTTTATTTGATGATTTAAACTCTTTAAATAAAGAAAGAATGAAGAAGTAAAATAAATTAGTCATATTTTTCAACATTTGCTTCAACATGAAGGAAGAACAACACTTTGACATCTATCGGCTGCTTTCAGTGACTTTTCACAGAAACTAACCTTGGGGAAGAAGCGGCAGTAGTCTCTGGTCAGAATCATCTCCACCAAGTCTTTGAGCCCCTCCAAACCCAGCATGTCTGCAGCCAAAACCACCTGACTGTACGACGGAGACATTACACTCAAATCAGCTGCTTTTTGCGGTGATTTTTGACCCCGCCTCTCTTTTAAACAGTACCTGGCATTGGCTCCTCTGGGCAAATCCATAATAGCTCCGTACATAAACTGAAGCAAGATCTCCATCTCATCTGGTCCCAAGCTGAAAACATCAACATACAAACAGAAGCTAATAAGATACAAAAGTCTGGTTCAATTTGGTTCATCTGATATGAAACTCAGTTTATATAGATGCTGCAATAATTCATCAGGAGAAGGTAAAAACAATTCCCTAAGTGTTTAATTGTATTGTTGTAACAAAAACGGGATAATCGTACAAGATGGTAAAAAAAAAAAAAAAAGAAGAAGAAATTGGAGACAGACAGCATTGCAGAAAGGGCTCTAGGCAGGGGCAGAGCTAGATGGGGGGCCAGGGGTGACCATGGCCACCCTTAGCCAATCACTGGCCACAACCAACATTTTTTTACCCTCTAATACAGATTGTGGCATCAGTAAAACTCTCAATTTGTTGAGTTTGTAATGGCCAAACCCATGGCCACACCTTAAAAGTCTGTAATATTGTCAGGTCTAACACCTAAAACACTGTAAAACAAGGAAAGAAAGGCACAGAGTCAGAATTCTTTTTACTCGCAAGGGGAGTCAGCTTCAGCTTTCTCCTCGCTATTTACTAAAGTCAGACGGGGGGTCCCTAGTTACACAAGCTGAGGTTGCGCTAAAGGAATAGGAAACAAGAAATACAACTCAATTTGCAGTCTCAGTGAACAGGTCAATTTGCATTTAAACGTCTTGTAGTCAAATGATCCGAGAACCTCCTGGTTTCGTTAAGCTTGAGCAATACTTCCTGAGAGTTGACCTATACTGCTTATGCAACACCTCTCTGGAACAGTAATATGTCACATTATACATCATAAGAACAAACATTAAGTATCTTATACATAATTATTCCAACAAATACACATGCACCTTTATTTATTAATGCATACTCACACTTTAGTTTCAATAAAAATTCATTCTTAGTTTAAATACATGTGTTTTATTTGTGAGCGCGCACATTTAGTTCTTGTAATTGAATGCACTTATTCGTATTTCTTGTGCTTGCCACAGGTTTGCCTGCCGTGTCTAAATGTAGCAGCAGCAGAAAGCCAAACTGACAGCTCATTGGCTCATTTGGATCATGTGTTGCCTGGTCCCAGAGGGCTTTACTATATTAACAGGAGAAGCGGCGCAAGTGAAGTTAGACACTGCTGTCAGACAACATGCGGTAATTTATAAATGTTTTAAATTAGATTGGGTCGGATTAGCCAGCAGGTGGGTCCTCTAATCCGTGACCTCTGAACTATGCCTTTTATCTAAAAAGCACGGATGTTTAAATATATGTGTCTATATGTCAGCAAAGGCTGTAGGAAGGTATAGTTTGTCTTTTCCTGTTCAGTCGTAGGGAGAGGGCTTGGCTAATAACCTCTCAGAGAGAATGTTGAGGCTGAAGCAGGAGGCTGCATGGTGATATTGTTGCCTTGCTCCCCTTTTTTTTTTTTTTTTGCATTAAATTAACACTGAACATCTCAGCATCACGCTCAGAGGTTGCTTTTCAAAGTGATGTAAAAGAAGAAATATGAGGACAGAAATGATCAAGATGGCGTATAGAACTATATCTGATAAGATATTTAAACGGCTGCCTGAAGAGGGCTGTGGACATCAGAGAATTAGCCGAACTTTGTGCAGTAATACTAGGCAGAGATTTAAAAGTCGAAATAAGGCATGAGGACGGAATCCTAGTGAAGACGTCTGGATGCTAAAAAGGAATCAAAAGATGCGTCAACAAGACCTTGCTAAAGAGGGTGAACCGTTTACTGTTGTTTTGACTCTAACAGATCTGTTTATTTTCCAATTGAATAAGACAAAGGTTTAGAAGGTTTCGGTGTCTTTAAATGTAGCTCTGAATCCCTTAAAGGTGTTGTGGAGGATTTTCCATATTTCCTCTCCACTTTAAAAGAAATACGTGTGCGAGCCCATTTCTCCTCGTGCAAGCTCTGTGTCTGAACGTCCGCCCTAACCCATAAATACCTCCATCCATATATAGAGAGGGGACAAATTGTGGACTTTGTAGTGACCATTTGGACAGACGATCACTGCTTTTTGCTCCCTGTTGGTCACCTAACTCCTCCTCCACCGCCTGCGCCATCTTTGTTATCAGTCACCACTGTTGGGTAGCGACAGCGGGCCGCTGTGACAGCAAATCCCATAATGCTTTGCAAGGAGAGATCTGTGCGCAAAGCATTCCAGGCTATATCGGCGTCTTCTGAGGCCTTTATTTTTTTCTCATGAACTTCGTAGACACTTTTTCTCTTAGGAACCTCGGCCATTTTCAAAGAACGTCAGTGAGAAAGGTGAGCTTCAGTGACTGTCTAAAACTGTAGCTCAACACAGATGAAAGTGCGCATTTGCAGAAAAAGATGCCTAAAGGGTAGTGTTGTCAAAAGTATCGTTATTCAAAAAAGTATCGATGCTAAAACGTTGTATCCGGATACGATACTTATTATCAAAAGTATCGATACAGTGCTACCAAGAGTGGCAACTAAACTGTCATTCATCTAGAGTGCAGAATAGAGGAAATTTCACTTTCTGAAGACAGTGTGATTGAATAATTCTGTGCATTTTACAGTTTCAGACTTTTTCTGTAACAGGTGCAGCTGCTGAGAATTATTTTTGTTTGTTAACTGGTTTGGCCTGTGTCATTGCTATGTGAGCAAAGCATAGCCAAGAAAGGAACACTTTAAAGTTAATTTTGTTATTCTTGTATCAAGGTTGCTTAATATTGTGCACAGCATACAACCTCAAAATATTGTTCTTATTGTTTATTGTATTTATTTATTTTTTGTATTTTATTTCTGAATGAAAATATTTCAGTTAAATTTTGCGTCTTACCCGTGCAGAGTGATGCACTGTCTGGAGCTCTCCATCCAGCTCCCACTGAGCATAGCGCGGAAGTACTGGGATCGAGCGCACAGGATCGCCCTGGAGACCAAAAATGAAGCAGGAAACGTCATGACAACTTTTTAGAGTGAAGGCTCCCTTTTAATCCTGATGTTTCTACAGAAACGAAAAACTTAATCTACATGTGTTAAATCTACACCTTTTCAAGTGAAAAAATAAAAAGTCTAACACCAGTGAGAGAACTTTCTATACTTTCTGTAAGTGTCGTTTTTCAAATTTTAAACACCCTATAATCCCCAAGCTTAGGAAGGATCTGAAACACCTGCTGACATGTAATCATGGAAATAAAGTTTGTTGGAGGGATGGAGGGAACATGCAGACTGAAGACCGGCTTCTCTCTAACGAGCACTTTCTGCTCCTTTTCCTGCACAGGAGCTGAGAGCAAACCCGTCTCCATGGTTACTTGTTACAACGTCTACCTTTAAATCACAGACTGACCACCCACTGCTGGTGCACGCTGAACCTGTGCAGCGGTACACGTTTTTACCCAAACAGCTAGCAGCCAACAGGAGGCTTCATGAGAAATGTTAGATACACAGCAAAAACGGAGCTGAAAACAGGTTTAAATATATTCATTTAAAACCAAGGAAAAAGCAGTAATTACAGAAGTAATTCAAAGAGAAACTCTAAAGGATAAAGTGTTAAAGGCACACTATGCAACATTTTTCAGTTAATTAATGTGTTCCATAACGTTTTGGATGATTAAATGAGTCATTTCAGGTTGAACAAAGGTTTTCTCGGCCGCCCTGGTGGTCTGTGGGGGAAACACCGCACTTGCAACTGCAGGAGCACCGACCCGCACCCACAGGCTCAGAAGTCTCGCGAGAGTCGGTCTTGCTTTACGGCGAGAACTGCTACACGCCCCCAGTTAAAAGCATGCTCGTTGCTAGCACAGTGGCGATCTTTGTGCAGTTATGGCGGAACCAGCGTGAAAACAGCGAAAGCCCATGTTGGAGCAGGCAAGAAAGAGGAAAAGGACTCCGGACAGAGAGAGGAGTCGTACACGGGTGAACATCGGGCAAGCTTTTTCCGAATGGCGAGAGCTAAAATAAAATGAAGGCTGCAAGGCTGACGGGGACCTCGCGTTTCTGCTGATGCGATTGTAAGTAACATTGGAAGGGTTTCTCTCTCTCTGTGTGCATGTTCATACTTTCACTGTGTTAGTCATTCCTTGCGTTTGCCTGTCTGCTAAGCTCAAAACAACCGCGCCTGGCTTGACGGAGAAACCAGGAGAACAGCTGTGCATATTTAAGACAGTGCACTTTTACTTTCGCCCTCTGGGGGGAGCCTTGCTGGAAAATCAACACCGGTTGCATAGTGTACCTTTAAGGAGAGGAAATGAAAGAACTGGGAGTGGGGTTTAAACGCATTTATTTTATAGATTAATTCATTGTAGATTTCATTTTAGCTCGGTTGGATTTTTCTGGAAGTATAAAAGCTTAAAGTCGTAGGGAAGCAGCTGTTCCAACGGTTGCATTTCCGAATTCTCCCGAGTGGTGCACGACTTTAGATGAGTGAATAAAATGAATTTGATTGGTCGTTTATCAAGGGGGCGGGATTGTTGTAGTGGAAGGTTCGCAACATGTTTGATTGCGGCCGGTTTGTCGGAAGCATCTTGCTAACCAGTTAGCATCTTAGTGCTAGCAGGTTCCCAATGGGAAATTCCATTGGGACCAAGTAGCACTAAATTGGTGACTTAGAAACGGCACTGTCAAGGAACGCTATGGACAGAGGAAACATGCAAGAGGAGGAGAGTTTAGTGTCGGAGGTCGTGGATGAGTCTCCTCCGTCATCCATTTTTTATTTAGAGGAGGAAAGCGGGGACGAAGATGTTGTGGAAGAGGACGCCAGGGCGGCAGAAGCTTGGTTTGGTGTAGAAGGCTTCCAGCCGTACATGTTTGAGCCCTTACCTCGCAACGCTGCCAGTTCTGTTAGCTCTACGCCTGCTGAAGACAGACGTTCAGACCTCCATTTACATAAAAAAAAACAATGATAGAAAGTTTTACACAAACCTCAATAATAACATTAGCAAATAAAACAAAAAGCCAACAATGGAGAGTGAATGTAGGCAGCAGAACGCATAGCTTTCCCAAGAAACTAATGAATTACTAATGAATCGATCAATACAAGAAGAAAAACAACAACTCTATAATCGACCAACAAATGTATCAGTCTATCTCCAACCGACACATTTTATTTTTCATTATCCAAATAAATAAAGTATTTCCTAAAGAGGCATTTTGTCCTCACACTGCCTGGTTCCAAGTTTCTCCTTCAGAAAAGTGTGTTTTCCAAAGCCTGTTCTAATTCACTTGGTTTGTTTTTCTGTGGTTGTTACGAAGCCCATTGATGACTTAATCAGCAGAGAAACAACCCTTAAATGTAGCCAGAGCTACAAAGACAGGAATTTGATTGAAGCATCTTTATGAGCTAAAATGGACTAGTCAAAGTCGATGCAGAAATCCAATCAATAATCTGAGACCAAACTTAGCTTCAGACGTCCTGCATTAAGAGAATATGGACATTTTCTGACTTTTACATCTAAAAAATTTGGTAAAGTATTTCCAATAGATTCACAGCTATAAGTAGAGGTGGAGCCACATTTTACTGACTCCGATGTCAATAAAAACTTTTAAAACCAGGTGTTGCTTCACTGGTTTATGTTGGTTTATCAGAGAAAATTCTAATAAAACACAGTTTGCGGTTTAATTTTTAAATAAATGTGAGATTAGTGAAAAAAAAATCACTCTGTGCTGCTAAAACTGATAAAAAAGCAAACATTTCTTTACATCCACGTGTATTTGTCCTTAATTTAAGCAGGTTTATAAGATTATCTGCCAATATAACTAATATGTTTGCCTTTGATATCCTGCAATTAAAATAAAAAAATTGTTGTTTTATTTTTCTTACTTAAAATAGAAATCGTCTTATCCCATTGGCAAGTTGTCTTACCTACCTACTTAAAGCTATGGAGGGTCAAAGGGGACAAAATTAAATAACTATTTACTACTTATTACATCATTAAATAATCAAATGTTTAATTAAATGAACAATTAGTTACAAAAAAATAATATAAAATAATTCAACATAAAATGTAAGAAATAAACTGTTACGTGAAATAATTAAATTAATCCATGTATTTAATACAGCATTAAACCATGTACCAGTAAAATATGAAATTAAATATAAAATTAAATATTTAAATATACCATTTATGACATTAATGGTTTTTTTAATGGAGGTATTTTATTTACATTTATCATTGATTTTATGGCACTGAGGCGTGAAATCATTTAAACCTAACCCATCAAACTCAGTGTGTGGGTCTAGAGCCATCACCATAGAAACCCTGACTGATTGCTGATTGGTTGCTTTTCACTGAGAAAGAGGAGACACCTTCTTCCTGTTCACTTTAATATCAATATTGTCACTGAAACAGAGGGGAAATAACTTAAAAAATGTGTCATAATTTATTTACAGGACATTAAGCCGGGCATACAGTGTGCGATTTTTTTCAGTCGTTGCACGTAGCTACAGCTCGCACTGTACGACGAAATCGCAGGGTTTTGTTGTACAGATCAAAAAATTCTCGCACGACTGAAAACTGGTACAGTTTGCGCCCAGCTTTAGGTGAACAACTCCAGCATTTGTATCTCTAGTTTAATCTGAAATATGTCTGACAAGCTTAGGAGAAAGCTAGCTGTCGGCCAATGTGCTGGAAGCTTCTACACACCCAAGCAGAATCACCCTAAGCTCCGCCCACTGACTGTTCTCTCATGAAGGGTTTAGAGACCAAATCAGGGATTTAGACCCAACTAAGGTCATGATATAAGTCGAGCAAAAATGCTGTTTACAAACTGAGATTACATTTTTTTGCATTGAAGCAAAAACAAAATTCAAAGTTTTTTCTTGCTAAAGCTACATGCTAATGACGAGATTAATGTTCTGCAGAAAACATCCACTATCCGGGTAGAAGGTTTTCCACAGGGAGTGCTATCTAACGAAATTAATTTTAAACATTTTATGTCACGCATGTTTGATCAACGACGCTCTTTCAGTCAGTCGTTTCCATAAGACATCCAATGTACGGAAAAGCTTCAAGGGATGTGAATACTTTTCCAAACAACTAGTTTAGTGGATGTGGACGACAGGCAGCTCTACCTGTGGCAGGAGAAGATCTGCTCAGCCACCTGGATGGTGATGTCACACTGTTCTCTGCTTCGGTAGAGATGCAGCAGGTCGGCGCCGACATCTGAGGCCGGTTCCAGAAGCGCAGCCGCTGGAATGAGGAGCAACCGAAACATTCGGGATGAGCATCACTCAGCACAGGACACATATTTGGTTAATAAAACTGTATGTCAAAGAATGAAAGGAAGATAACAAGGCTGGACTGAAAGTGAATGCATCTAAAGCAGGAACTCACTGTAATTAGCAGGAAGAGCAACAAAGGCCCAAATGGGATTAGCTCTTAATTGGATTATGACTAAGAAAACATAATGTGAGAAAAGTGGATAGAGGAGGACAGCTTAGTGGTCACCTGACCGCAGAATAAACCCTCCATGTGTGTATCTGTTTACCTGAGTCAGTGGGACAGTAAGGAGGGGAATCCGCTTCAGGTTCAGCCGTCCGCATGCTCTGCTCTGCTGTGTACACCTGCCTGTGGGTAAAACTCAGAAATTAATTAAAACTGAACCTTTTCTGAAATGCTACGGGTTCATCTGATAGACTGACTTCTGTTACACAGAGTCCTGCAACCTGCAGAGACATAAGCTCCTTGGAAAACAACAGATATTATTTGGCTGGTTAATATTCTCTCTTTATCAACAAGGTAAAGGAAGCGTTTTTTTCCTTTCTCTAACCAGGTGACATCCGCTCCCTAGATTGCATTTAAGTGGCAACAAAAGGTTGAGAAGGAAAACAGCTGCTGAACCAGAAAAGGGTTGAAAGACACATTAGGCTAGAATCAGGTACTCCCCCAGGTGGTCAAAGCAAGAATTACACCTTTTAAGAATAATAGGAAGAGCTGATTAACAAAAAAAATAAAATAAAAAAGTCAGCTGATGGGTTTTGGAGATCAGGTCAAGGCCTACAGAAGACCTGAGACTTGCTGCAGAGATATTTCAGCACAGGAGAGAAGACAGACAGAGAGCCATCCCTCCAGTAGGGCTGAAACTGTGGATTAATCCTTCTAATTCATTATTTAAATAAACATAAACTAAATTAGTAATGGATGAATCATTAACTAGAGCAGACAGACTCAAACTCATTACTTTAGCAGAAAAGGAACCCTCTCAGAGCAGTAAATATGTCAAAGCTGTAAAATACTTTGCATTTGAGATGGAAAATCTAGAACTCACCAAGTTTTAGCTTTTGTTGGTTTAAAGTCTCAATAAAATCTTTTGCTTTTCTAAAAAAAATAAATAAATAAAAAAAGAATCATCAGATTAATCAATAAGCAAAGCAGTTCTAGTCTCCAGTGAAGCGTGTTCGCCAGGAGAGAGAGAACCGTACCACAGGTGCATTTCTGTGTCTAACTCGTAGGCGTAGGTTTGCATAGGGACCATAGGGACATGTCCCTACCAACATTTTGGACTGACCTACTTGTCCCTACCAACAATTAGATGTGAAGAACATGTTTATAATTTACAATACAGCGTTGTTGCAGCAGTAGAGGAGTTCTGTATGGAGAAAGCTGACAGACGTAAACATTTATTTATCTAAAATGCAAAATGTTTATATATTTTTTTTTTTACAATTTTGGTATAATTCCTGCTCTAAGCGGGTCACACTGTGAACTAAAGACACGTTTTAGGATCTCTATATTCCAGTTAAAGATTAATCAATTACTAAATTTGTTGACATTATTTAAATAATCGATTAATCTGATGAATTGTTTCAGCTATAGATAAAATACATGAAATGGGTTAAACAGAGTAACCACAGCCTAGATGTACAACTTGTAGAGTGAAGTTAATGTTCTAAATGCTTAGTGTCAGTTTCACTTCTAGTTCCAGGGCTTATGTAAATAAAATAAATTAATTTGGCGTCCCTTTAATCTATTATTTTGCATTTTATGAAAGAAATAGAACATTTAAAATAGGGATGCACGATATAATCGGCCCCTTATCGGTATCGGCCTTAAAACTGAATATCGGACATCGGCCACCCCACCGATATTTAACCCGATATTTGATCAGCTTCTGAGTTTCTAAAGTCTAAAAAAAAAAAAAAAAAAAAAATACTACTTCTTCTTCTTCCTCAAAAACTTCTTTTTTACAGACTTAAAAACTTCTAAAGACGAGGGAAAAAATATTGATACATTAAAATATCCCAATATCTTCATATGCTGATATATTGCCATTTAAAAACACCATATCAATCTCTTTTACTAATGAAATATTGCTATATGTCATCGTTATGCTACGAAATCCCCCGAAAATTCACAAAATGTTGCCATATTTTTATATGTTGATATATTGACGCAGTATCGATCTATTTTACTAACAAAATCTCACAAGAATTTGCAAAATATCACGAGAGTTTGTAACAGAACGATGAAATTTCACCAGATTTTGAAAGTAAAATAGGTCGATACCGCGTTTTTAAAAATCAATTTGATATCAGCATATGAAAATATATTTGAGTATATTATTTTTCAAAGTGTCAGAAATGGATAACAAAACTGCTATTTTCATTGACTACTTATTTTTGTCCAGCTTTAACATCGGTATCGATATCGGTTATCGGCTACATGAGTTTTAAAATATCGGCATATCGGATATCGGCCAAAATCCCAATATCGTGGATCCCTAATTTAAAAGATAATAGTGGGTTTTACCTCTGCACAATGCTATACATTCAAAAGAAAATACAGGATAAATCCAAATATAACAGACATATTTAGACTATATTTGGTTAAATAGGCACAGATTTACCTACTGTCTTAGTTGCTGGTAATTTGGAGTGGAAAATAGTCTTAAGAGCCAGTGATGCTTCAAACATTGAAAAACAGCATCTTCTGTGTGAAGTGCTTATAAAATTTGTATAAATGCTGCTTTTCTCTTTAAATGATATACACCCTGATTTTCACGTCAAGCATAAAAAAACAAGAATGCATATTTTTGCATAGGACCAATGACATCAGACCAATAGTGTCCCTACTAAAGGTGAAATCAAACATACGCCTTTGGTCTAACTAATTTGGACTTTTCTTGGAAATAAAAATCTGCCAAAGTGTCATAACTGTTGCATCAAAGCTGTGATATCCCAGAAGTTTTTAAAACAAACTTTGTTTTCCCCAATTTTTACCCATCAGAACTATTCATTCATTCATCATGTAAAAGTCATTTTCCAGCCTCACAGGAAGCTCAGTCCTTTAATCCCTTTGCATACGATACTTTGGTTCATTAAATCAGGAATCGATGTTAACCATCGCCCGGGGCAAGTAGTTTTTATTGTTGGGAGAGTACAAATTTAATTGCATTTGCCGGCTGGGCAAGTGCAATGCTCAAAATGCTCAAAATTACTTTAAAATCACTGACATTCGATGAAAACGACCCAGAAGCGTTGCCGGCGCCATTTTTGTTGTTTTGTACACATTCTCGCGTGATTTGAAAAAGCAACGTGATTTTCCGCCAGACGGCGTGATTTTTGTCCACCTAGCGGTAATTTTGATGTAGTTACCAAAACGACAAACAAGCTAGAAAGCGCTAACATATGGCAGTCTTTTGTACAGTGATGCAGGTTATACATTAAAAAATTCTAATTTTTTTCTCTTAGACATTGGAGAGGTGCATTTAAATGTTATAGAGCTAAACATGTTAGATTGGTGACCTTTTATGTTATTATTATTGTCTTGTTGCTGCATTTATTTTGTCAGGGAAAACTAATCCTGAGTCAGTTAAAAGTCAGGGAATTCTGAAATGATGTCAGACTGTGGAAACCCTGAATAAAATAACTATGTATAATGATTCTCTAGAAAAGTCACATTATATTAATAGTATTATCTTGTATAAACATACCGTGACTCTAAAATAAAAGTTATTCATTTGTGACATTGACTTCTGTCTTGTGATTTATCTTAAGTTTTTAACCTGTTTTTTTAGATTTCGTTTTTTAGGTTTAATTTGAAAAGAATGTGCAGGAAGGATTGAAAAGCATGTTAACACGGTAATGTAGGCTTGAGTTCATTATCTGACGCATGCAGATACACACCAGGAACCTGGAAACTTAAAAAATACTGAATTACAAAAAACATTTAAAAAACAAACATGTTTCATTGTTAAATATAATAAAATGAATATAAGGAACTATATTTATCAAACATTATACTGGGCAAGTAAAAATTGTTTCGGGCAAATTAAATGTGAAAGTCACTTGCCCTAAATCCTTAAGGTCAACCCCTGGTCATATGCAAACATGGAGGAAAAATCTCCTTTCTTATCTGTCAAAATCGACCATTATTGAAGTTTTAGGATATTTTCCAGCCTGAAGTTTTAGTTTTTTTTGTATTTTTTTTTTAAACGTGGAGCCTCTGGCCAGACTTTAGATTATAAAGCTCTGCAGCTGTATCAGAGCAACTTCACTGCAACTCGTTAAGAAAACTCTATGGAAGCTGTGACTCAGCACACAGAAATGAGATTCAAGCGAGGAAGCAGCAGCAGCTTCTGCAGGGATCCTAAAACCTGTGATGAAGCAGAATCAAACCCTGCAGAGTAAATGAGCAGCACTGACAGACGCTATGCAGCCGTTACACCAACAGATGAAATAACATGATGACACTCAGCATTCCTCAGAGAACAAGCAGCAGCAGACTTTGGGTTTAGAGTCTGATGAATCTGGACTAAACCAGCAAATAGAACGGAGCTCAGAGCCTACCTGAGGAAATCCTTCAGAGCAGGCAGATCGTAACCTGGTAGATGGATGATAATTGGATCTTTATTGGTCTGTCCTTGGAGGATATGCGGAGCTCTGGCCAGCAGCACGGCCCTGTGAGCTCGGACCGATCCTGAACCCGCATAGAGGGAAACATCTGCCTCCAGTTCCTCCTGCAGCAGCCTAGAGAAACACAGAACAAATGTTTTTCCTCAGACTTGGAAATCAAAGCACCAGCAACTCTTAATAAACATAAAGCAGAGTTCCTGCATTCTTTTCTCTATTTCCATATTTTATAAGGCTTAGATATCCAGACTTGGCTTTCTATTTATCCCTTTAAAAAACTAATAAAAACTTTCCCTATAAAATCAGAGCAAAGATGTAAAAACTTTAACTTGAATCTTAATCCATACTTTTCAAACTAGTCCCTGATAAAGATAAATCTGATGGCCTGTTTCTCTATCGCAGGACTTTGGAACATGAATCCTGAGGCGGTCCAGCTCCTCCATACCATCACCATATCTCATCCCGCCTCGCTGACTGAACTGGGTGACCCAGAAAGGGAGTCGGCGTGAGGCGAGTGTGCATTCATAGATCAAATGCTGGTGTCACATTTTTTCATAACTCCGATCAAAGTGAGAGGAAAACTCTGACAGGCCAAAAGGACGACCCGCCTCCCAGAGATGCTCGCATCAATGTGACCTTTTCTTCTGGGAAACAGAACAGCAAAGAATAAACCTTGCATTTGTTAAACGGGCCTCCATGTTGTCATCATTACATCCTCACCTGTCACTGATTACTGAACATTTCTGCAACTTTCTTCAAACTTTTCTTCAAACTCAGTTTTTCCACACATGGGTTTTGCAGAAAATGTCAAATAGTTAATATCAGATAAGAAACTAAATTAACTATAATGAAGATTTGGAATTGAAGAGGTTCAAATAACAGAATATCATTGCTAAATACAAACACCATTATAGACCGAAATAAACATGGAGGCACCGTTTTCCTAATTTGCGTTAATCTGCATTCATTCTAACAAAAAGGCTTTAGTCTAATAAATATTTCTTATCTTCATAGTTTTTTTTATTGTTAGAAATAGGAATTTTATTTTTTCCCTCTATGTTCTGGTTGGAGGCTCGGAGGAGGAATGAATAGAGCTTAATATTCTGTCCAGCCAGACTGATCTGACGTATCCATGGGATATCATTCTGATTAGGTGCTTTTAAAGTTGGATTTCAAGGCGGGACTAACCCCCAGATCCCACATACTCCGTCAGCACTCCGCTCTGCCCGCTCATGTACGTTGTGCGGAGCAGTTGTGCTGTTACACATCCACCGCGCGTCGTTATCCACATACATCTTCTCCGACCGTCACCACAAAAATACAGAGCCGAGCTATTTTTTCGATCCGCTCCGGTCCGGCCAGGTCAAGATCCGCAATTGCAATCGGACCAAACAGGAAAAAGAACGACGAGAAGATCCAGTTTGTCAAATTAAAATATAATAACGACAGACCTGTAATTAATAATTGGATCATAATTCTTATATTAGGGATGCACAATATAATCGGCCCCCTATCGGTATCGGCCTTAAAACTGAATATTGGACATCGGCCACCCCACCGATATTTAACCCGATATTTGATCAGCTTCTGAGTTTCTAAAGTCTAAAAAAAAAAATAAAATACTACTTCTTCTTCTTCCTAAAAAAACTTCCTTTTTACAGACTTAAAAACTTCTAAAGACGAGGGAAAAAATATTGATTCATTAAAATATCACAATATCTTCATATGCTGATATATTGCCATTTAAAAACACCATATCAATCTCTTTTACTAATGAAATATTGCTATATGTCATCGTTATGCTACGAAATCCCCCATAAATTCACGAAATGTTGCCATACTTTACTAACAAAATCTCACAAGAATTTGCAAAATATCACGAGAGTTTGTAACAGAACGATGACATTTCACGAGATTTTGAAAGTAAAATAGATCGATACCGCGTTTTTAAAAATCAATTTGATATCAGCATATGAAAATATATTTGAGTATATTATTTTTCAAAGTGTCAGAAATGGATAACAAAACTGCTATTTTCAATGACTACTTATTTTTGTCCAGCTTTAACATCAGTATCGGTTATCGGCTACATGAGTCTTAAAATATCGGCATATCGGATATCGGCCAAAATCCCAATATCGTGCATCCCTATCTTACATATTTCGAAAAACTAACACAGCTTATTTCTAGGGATGGGAATTGAACACCGGTTCCTGTTCAGAACCGGTTCCGTGTGTTCCAATTCCATGGCACCGTTTGGCAGCTTGTTTAATGGTTCTCTTAACGGTTCCAGGCAGCACCAGAGCCTAGCGCTGGGCACATGACTTACGTCACGTTTTTAACGCAAGTTACGCACACGGCATTCAGTAAGCAAGTACGATGTGACCGCGTAAGTCTAGAGCGGCAGTAACATCCGCGGGAGGAAATTCATCCAACATGCAGAAACATCTGTTTATGTCTGTGCATGCCGGCTGGTACTGAAATTCTATTTAGCCTCAAAATGAACTAACTAAATTCAAGCAGGACGGATGCTTGGAGTTATAAACCTTATAAACCTTATAAACCTGAATTTTGGTCTTCGTTTTTTTAGGCCCGAGCAGCGAAGGCTGCAAGAGCCTATTGTATTTCGAAAGTTTCTTTTTAGGCCCGAGCAGCCAAAAGCGCTGCAGGCCTAATGTTTAAAATTTCATTTTATTGGCCCGGGGAAAATCGGGC